GACAATCTGCTGTTGGATCTGACCACTGGGGAGGCACTTGGGATGGGATCCATGGGGCAGGGCCGACCTCTCAGAGGGTTCAAAGACGTTGAGGGCATATCGCATTCAGAATGGCCACCCCGTAAGGGACTCATCATCATCAATGCGGATGCGTTTCCCCACTTGTGTGGCATTTAGGACCGTTTGAGTTCTGTTGAATGGGTGTTTGTATCAAATGTATTTGACCCTTTCCGAGGCAGGACCTCACTATTAGATGATTGGGGCCTGATTGCTGGTTGGAAGGGAATCTGCCCCCTGCAGCATCTTCATCATTTTCACAGTGTGGATGTAAATGTAGGTTGCTATGTGAAACCTGTCAGCCATGGACATTCACAGATGGAAGTAACGCGAGTCAGAGGGCAATGGCAGGTGGAAAATCAAATATACATGGCACAATGGTTCTCCAATGTAGAGTTACCCCCAGGCCGCGAAGGGCGGCACACCTGGCCTGGGGGTACATCGATAACATATGACATATATATATATGTATGTGTATATGACAAGGGTATTAGGGAATATTAAACTCCCACCCCCGTTAAACTTTACATTCAATTGGGAAGATCAACAAGCGTTTTAGGGAATATTAAACTCCCACCCCCGTTAAACTTTACATTCAATTGGGAAGATCAACAAGGGATTTAGGGAATATTAAACTCCCACCCCCGTTAAACTTTACATTCAATTGGGAAGATCAACAAGGGTTTTAGGGAATATTAAACTCCCACCCCCGTTAAACTTTACATTCAATTGGGAAGATCAACAAGGGTATTAGGGAATATTAAACTCCCACCCCCGCTACACATTACATTCAATTGGGAAGATCAACAAGGGTATTAGGGAATATTAAACTCACACCCCCGTTAAACTTTACATTCAATTGGGAAGATCAACCAGGGTTTTAGGGGATATTAAACTCCCACCCCCGTTAAACGTTACATTCAATTGGGAAGATCAACAAGGGTTTTAGGGAATATTAAACTCCCACCCCCGTTAAACTTTACATTCAATTCGGAAGATCAACAAGGGTTTTAGGGAATATTAAACTCCCACCCCCGTTAAACTTTTACATTCAATTGGGAAGATCAACAAGGGTTTTAGGGAATATTAAACTCCCACCCCCGTTAAACTTTACATTCAATTCGGAAGATCAACAAGGGTTTTAGGGAATATTAAACTCCCACCCCCGTTAAACTTCACATTCAATTGGGAAGATCAACAAGGGTATTAGGGAATATTAAACTCCCACCCCCGTTAAACTTTACATTCAATTGGGAAGATCAACAAGGGCTTTAGGGAATATTAAACTCCCACCCCCGTTAAACTTTACATTCAACTGGGAAGATCAACAAGGGTATTGGGGAATATTAAACTCACACCCCCGTTAAACTTTACATTCAATTGGGAAGATCAACAAGGGTTTTAGGGAATACTAAACTCCCACCCCCGTTAAACTTCACATTCAATTGGGAAGATCAACAAGGGTTTTAGGGAATATTAAACTCCCACCCCCGTTAAACTGTACATTCAATTGGGAAGATCAACAAGGGTTTTAGGGAATATTAAACGCCCACCCCCGTTAAACTTTACATTCAATTGGGAAGATCAACAAGGGCATTAGGGAATATTAAACTCCCACCCCCGTTAAACTTTACATTCAATTGGGAAGATCAACCAGGGTTTAGGGAATATTAAACTCCCACCCCCGTTAAACTTTACATTCAATTGGGAACATCAACCAATGTTGTTGATGTTGATGTTGATGATGTTGATGTTGCTGATGATGATGCTGACGATGATGATGATGATGATGATGATGATGTTGATGAAATGAGGGAAAAATCGTCATCCGTTTGCCCAAACGAACGACACGGGGAATCTCACAAAACATTGGCCCTGCGCAGTCAAAACGCACTTTCCCGGGCAGCACATCCGTCCTGGCCGTAAAGTTACATGCTTGCTTCAGTGATTAAGCACGTGCAGACTATCATATTTGTGAAACGTGGACACATGCACAGGCGCGCACACACTGCTGATCACATCACAGGGCAAATCTTTGCATACCCCTATCACCAGATCAAAGATAGCCAGGTTTTTAACAACATTTTCAGGTTTTGCAGCTGTTGGGGCATTATGACGCGACGTGGACTGTCATGACAGAGAGATAGAGAGAGAGAGAGAGAGAAAGAGAAAGAGCGAGAGAGAGAGAGAGAGAGAGAGGGAGGGAGGGAGGGAGGGAGGGAGAGAGAGACTTAGGACTTAGGTTCTCGATTCAAATGACATGATGAGGGTCCAACAACCCGTCTTTGGACATTTGCCCATGAGTGCCAGTGAAGAAAAAAATGCTGGGAACCTGTCAGGAGAAGATAATCGATACCATGAACCGCAGGAGTTGTTATTTGTCTCCGGTTTAACCTTGTGCACGGCACTGCCTTGGACAATGAAAACAGTGAGAACCCAACAAAGACTTTGGGGGAATTTTGCCGTGAGGCTCCGCAATATCCTTGCCACTAAGCATCAGTGCTGCCAGGAGATGGGGGGTCTCAACTGCACAGCTAGGTCAGCGAGCTTAACAAGCCACAGCCGGCGCCCCATTTGTTACCATTGTTTTTGGACTGGTATAGTTCCGGCGTGGCAATGTCAGGCGATTAAAGGTGCGCTGTACACAGTTTTCGGGCCAAAAGGTGCTTTTCCGCCAAACCATCAATCCGCCAAGGTTTGGGCAAAAAATGGCGGGACTTAGGAACGTGGCAGAAACAAGAAACAACACCTGTAGCTGCAAACTATCAAATGGAGTGCCTATGCGCCGTAACATGGGTTTGTTTCGAAAAATGGATCGCCGAAATTCAAGTTGATTCTTGATCATCTTCCCCAATTGAAATTCCATTTTGGGATAACACCCCATCTCCGGACAAACCCGCGTCCTGCAGGTGGTCCATGTGGATTATTCTATTTGTTTTGACCGTGGGCAACGCTTGCGCGTGCCTGAGCGTGTGCCCTTCCGCATCTCGGCCGGCACCGCAAGGCCACCCTGAACTTTAGGGTGGAATGTGGTTTGAAGGATTTTGAAAGCGCTTTTCAATTGCGCCATCGGGATTTTGGGGTTCCATCTTAAGTTCCTGGTGCGGGACCAGCAGTATGCCATAACTTGGCATTGGTCAAAAGAGGGGGTCAGAAAACACAGAAAACAATGCACCGTTGATGATATTCATTTGGTTGCAGGCCGTCCTTTGGCATTCCAGGAAACGGTGGGGTTGGACACCTGAAAATGCAGACTTGTGGGCAATTGCGTGCCGTCTAAAAGGGATTTCAATTTCAATCAAACCCAATAGCCGTAGCAGCCTCAAGGCCTCACCCGCTGCATGGTGCATGCTCTTGGGCCCTTGGGTTTGGGAGGGCAATTTGCGCACACGATGCTCGGCTGGCACGCGGGTATCGTCACACCTTCAAACGAACTCAAACACTGGGTTCCAAACGTGTGAAGCGATCCCTGTTTGGGACCCACAGGTCAGGCAGTAGGTCATACATATCCCCTGGTAACCAAACATGGCAATGGAAAGTCCCCCAACTAAGTATAGACATTCTCCCATCAAAAAACATCAATTTATAGTTTTTTTTTCTAACTTTTAAATGATTTTCAATTTGCCATGTTTGATTGCCGGAGGGTATCTGGGTCTCCCTTTACAAGCCTCTTTCTGGGGGGGGGTTCATTGGGTTCACCCTTCCCCCGGCGCTATCCGGCACCCATGGCGACACCGAGGATGGAACTGGGTCTGGCCCTGATGGCCGAGTGGAGGGAACTCATCGTGTCGCTGACGGCGCGGCTTGGGGGGACACATCCTGCAGTTCACGGAAAGCGCCCAAATTTGTTGTTATAATTAGTAATTCCCGAAACGATACAGTATATCTAATTCAGGAAACACATGGAAAAACCAACCCCATGGTTGGCGCAGATGAACCTAGTTTTGAACCACAACCCAGGAGCCTTGCCTCATGCTGGCGCCGGTGAACGATTGGGTCGCTCCAGTGATGACGCCCTTTGTGGGCGGAGCTCGGGAGGCGGTGAGAAGGGGATAGAATGATAAAACATCTATGAAACACTTGAATAAGAAAGGCTGGGGAAGAAAGAGATATATATATATATATACACATTATATATATAGAGTATATAAGGACATGTATGGGATGATGGACCATGGACATCTCGAAGGTGTACTGTAACTTCACCCTTTCCCAGTCCAAGTGTTGCTGGCAATTTTCACAGGCGCCACAGATGCCTCCAGCGATAGCCATGGCTCGTGCCAGCAGTGGAGAACCACAGCTGCCAAGCAGGTTGGATGAGAGTGAATGGATTCTGGGCTGCAAGATGCTGAGGGGCGTTTCGGTCCACAACTTTGAAGGGGATGCGCCAGGACCGCCAGGAATTCTATCCTTGAAGAGTTCCTATCGAGGTCACCATCGCGACTATCATCATCACCATCATCTTTCCAATCCAACATGGTCCATAATTTTCCTTAGAAAAAACAATTTTAAACATGTCTAAATCCGTTCCATCGTTTGAATCGTTAGTCACCATTTTCCATTTTTTCCATTTTTCCATGTTTCTTTAAATCCAGTCATTGGATTGCGGGAACATCTGCAGGAAACCCATGGTTTTTACCATTAAATATAGGGTTTTTCCTGTAAATTTTCCCTTAAACCAATCCATCCAGGTCCGCCTCCAGCGCCTTTCCCCGCGCTCCGCCTCCTGGGCCCCCGCCGCCGCCGCCGGAGCCCTCGGACGGCTCGGAGTCGGAGGAGAGCCACGGGACGCAGGTGGGGCCAGCGGCTGGGCCGATTTTTTGGCCAGAACTTTGGGGGAATTGATGGATTTATGATGGATTTATGTTCAATTTTGTGGAAAGATGATTGGTGAAAAAAATGTGAATGATTGGGGATGTGGATGAGGATGATGGATGGGTATCAATGGCTGGGATTGTTTCCAGAAGAGGGCCGCTGCTTTTGAAGGATTTGCACCTTCCCAAGTCTCACAAAGTTGAGTGGCCACACTTATTACCCAGAAGCTGCCTCTACCCTGTAAAAGGTCCAACATATCTGAACACTGTAGTTTTCGGTTCTTCAACCTTGGCCCTGGAGCTGTGTGATTTTCAGGCACGCGACGAGGAGGACGAGGAAGAAGATGCTGCAAGGAGCGAAACCAGCCGTGGAGGAGGTGCGGCACATGGAAAGCTGAGAGTTTGGGCAAAACCCTGGGATTTGCTTTAACCATACGTTCCACTCGGTGGTACTGGGGCAACTTGCTTGTCACTAGCTGTCATGCCCCCACCTGGTGAGGTGAAGAAGAGTGCCTTTTGGCACAGGACCGCGAAGACGTGGATGATCCGCTGCCCAGTTATCACAATGACCTCAGGGAGAGAGGTGAGATGGGTGGGACATAGGCTTGGCGGAAGGAAGCTGATTTGTTTTGATCTTCCCAAAGTTTTCGATTTCCCAGCCAGGGATGAGGTGATGAGCACTAGGTTGGTTCACCACCAGTCATGTTTGAAACCTGTGAGCGATGTCAACCAACCATCATTGGCTTCGCGAAAGCCTCCCGGGCACCAGGTCCGCGATTGATGCGTACTGGCTCGGGTCCGATTGCGGATCCAGATCAGCGGGAGGGAGAGGATGGTGAAGCGGATGAAGAAGATGATGATGACTACGAGGCCCCAGATGGGGTGGGATTCGAGTCTGGCTTCGGATCCAATTCCAGATAACAACGGATTTTGCTGCAGTTATCCGGTCTTGTTGGCAAGTACGCAATCTTGATCCATATTCACATGGCGTGGGTGAAGGTCATGTAACATTATCAACATTTGCGGCCAGCCTCGCTGACAAGTCCGGACACCAAGTCCGACGAAGTCAAGGCCCCATCACTATTTTCAGTTACAACTTGTCACGAAAGGTAGCGTCAGCTACCTGAGTTCTCCGTGCTTCAGCACAAGCTTAGGGGGTATTGGGGGGCCAGCCCGTGCAATTCATGGAATTCTCGCCGTTATGTATTGGATATCAATTATAAGGGGGGGGCCCCCCCCCCCCGAAAATGGTCATGGGTTCAATTCCCACGGGTGACGCGGTCACGGGCCCCCACATTAGAGGCACACTTTCCATGAGGGAGATGTCCCTGTAGTCCAGCATAATTGGTATGCTTCAGCCTCAATAACAGTTGCTGCAAGGGGTCTTAAAAAGGGGTTTAAAATAAACCCCTTTTCGTGCATCATTTCACGCAGCACAAGACACAGTGTCATGCAGTCATGCTCTGGATAAAATAATCTTAGACTGCGCAAAAACGTTTTTGGTGTATCATCTTAGGGGCGCAGCATTTTGACACCACTCCTCTCCCACTACACTACCTTTCGTCCGCCTCCGCCTGCTCTCAAGTAATGTGGTAAAGCCAATCAGAAATACCACCATTTAGTGGTTTTTCCCCATGTCATAAACCTCAAACTTGGGATTGTTTATTACATGATTATAATCATCCCACATACCAATCATAACCTATAATTACCATTGAAACAAATATACAGATGTCTATGTACATTATAGTGCCACAATCATTCATGTATATATATATATATATTCCATGATATTCCCACGATGAATCAATATTTATGTCCGACAAAATATCCTGGATCTGCCAGGCCGATGATAGCAACCTGGAGCAAGGCCCCAGCGGCGCCGAAGCCGGTCCTTCGAAACGGCCGGCCCTGCGGGCACCGCCCAAGTGCGCGCTGGCGGCCTATGCGCTGGGCAGCATCCACCGGAAGATCCCGCGCCAGGCTCACTGGAATGTGGGGTGATTAGATGTCAATCATAGGATGGGTGGCTTGATGATCTATATTTAGATAGATAGATAGATAGATAGATAGATATATATATATAGTATATATAGAAATAGAGATATATCTAGGTAGTCATCTCGTCCAGTTCCCATGATTCCCACTGGCCAATCTACTCATCCTCAATGCGCCAGGGAGCACGTTTGGATTTGGAGGCTGAGTCTCTGATTGCGACTGCCACCAGTCCTGAGCTGCTGGCGCAGATGTACGCAGCTTGGCTCCATGGGTCAACAGCTGTTTGGTATTTACATATCCTGAGGTTGCCACAGTTGCCACACACTGAAGATGTATAACATGTATAGATCTGTTGCCGTGCAAATGCAGAAGGCACAAATGATGTTTGGTACAGAAGCAGAATCTGCATGTTTCTATTGATTAGCCGTGTCTGTGTCTTTCTCCTCACAGCGTCCAAAGAGCGGAAGTCCAGTTCAGAAGCCAAGACAGATTGCTGAACCGTGCATGATGCATCCAAGGAAGGTTGGACCTCCTGGATTTGAAAAAAGATTAGATATTTTCGTGACCATCATTCTGCAGCATGTGGCATAGCGTGCATCGATCGCACAGCTGTGTGATGGTGTAGCTGCTGGCAGTCATCACCAACGTCCAGTTGAAGGAGGTGACCAGTGGGGCCAGTGGGGTGTCACTGTGGTGCTCTGATCAGCGCCATCCAAGGGGCTGGCTATGAGCCCTGGGGGCCCTAGGTCTTGGCTACAGGGGATCCTGAAGACCAGTGGCAGCAACCGAATCGCAGCCCGATCCGGGCATGCAACTGACGTGAGGTGCCACTGGCAGACTGGACGCGAGCAACCCAGAATATGGCCAGTCACATAAGGTGAGCTGGGTGGTGTCACATAAGGTGAGCTGGGTGGTTGGGATTTCCAAATGTGGCGAGAGCCCAGGTAATTTCACATTTTGTATCTAGCTAGCGTTCCAGCTGTTGCCTCGTAGTTGGTTGCAGTTCCAGTCTACCAGAAGTGGCGCCAGCGATTCGTTTCTAAAGCGAGTTCGCTTCTGCAGCGCAGCAGATCTCAGAATATACCACTGAGCCCTCAGAAAAACGCATCACTGCGCTGAGCTGATTCAGTAGTCGCATCTATAGTACTATAGCTAGTTTTGTACTATAGCTTTTTCTGAGGATACCACTAGCTATCAGGATCAGATACCACTAGCTATAGTAGTCGCTATAGCTTTCCGGCCATGTTTTGTTAAAGGGCCCTAGGATCAGACAAGAGGAACACGATGAAATCTCTGGATTTTTCGCAACTGCAGCTGGGGCTCAAACAATGTCGACATTAATGGGTCTGTCAATACAAGTATTGTTCTTCCCCATTCTTCCTTCTAAATAGAGTACCCCCAAAAAAATATAAAATCCGAAAAGGCTCAACATGACCACAATTCAACTTACGATGTTGAAGAAGAATTGAAGAAATTTGCACATCTAGTTGCACCTGCCCAAGGGAACACACACACACAATTTTATCATATTTTATCCCATCCTTCAGCAATTCCGCATGGAAAGCATATGAAAGCATGATAAAAACGTGGTCATCCAGCTGTAAAAAGGGGGAGCTGGTTGGGTGCAGATGCAATCCTTCTACGCCTCAGGTGCTGTGAATCCAGCTGTATCCAGCTGTCTTGGCTCATGGGAGATTGACCCCGACCCCAGAGTATGGCAATTTCAAATGGTGAAAACATGGAAATGCTGTTTTAACATGCTTAAAAGTTCGAAACTAAATGAAACTAAATGATGGAATGGGCTTCCCCAATTCGGAAACACCTCCAACATGATTCATCAGCTTTCCTGTTTTTTCAAAGGTTCAATGTGCATTCTCGGTACGGCCCAACATGATTCAACTCTTAAAATAGATGGGTTGATTGGTTAGATAAGTTAGATATTGTTTGACGCTAGCAAATGGCAAAAATTGGGTTTGTTTCGTTCATCATCATTTTCCGTATTTTCTGACGGCAATCTTTATTGCGGGACTGTTTTTTCCCCGCTTTCAGGTACCAAACCCATTTGTGGGTCCCAGATGCCCAACTGAAGCTGTGGTGCAGGAAGCTCTGCTTCCAGATAGCCGGAGGGCCAGACGCCTGGCGGGCGCGCGAAGCATGGACAGCAGTGGTGGCTGGGGTAGAGAGGGTCCCCCTAGATCTGGTTGATATCAATATTACTATATTACTATATTACTATATATGGTTTATCAATATTTATATAGAAGATTTCAATATTACTCTTTCTTAAATCTTTGTCGTTACTACTGTCAGTCTTTAGTCATAGTGATACTATCAGTATTGGTATTGCACATGTATGCAAAACAATGGAACGGGAGAGAATGTCAACAGACATGGGATAACACCAAGACCCAAAACTCAAAAGTAGATAGTTTAGATTCGATCGCAAAGGACTAAGATTCGTGAATCTTTGGATCTTGAATTTAGACCAACATCGAGTGGACCTTGGCAGGCAGAGCTTTTACAGATGATCTACAAACATTACAAACTCCGCCAGCACAGGCTGGGGACGGCTGGGGTGGCTGCGGTTGCGCGCGGCTGCAACTTCCCATGCGCATCAGGTGCAGTTGACCGTCCCCTGACACCAGGTGGGGGCAGCTGTGCACAGAGGGTTGGGATGCCACCAGGAAACCCACTTTTCAAGGACGCAATCTTGGACACTGGGCCATCTTGACACCGAGATGTCAGCGTTTTTCACTCAGATGGATCGAGTTTCCCACAGTTCATAGATCCATTAGCCTCCGGTAATAAAGCATGGCAATTGAACATCCACCATGTGTACCCTCTGGTAATTTAACATAGCTATTGAAAATGGCCATTGATAGTTGATTTACCCATTAAAAATTGTAATTTTCCATAGTTATGTTAGTTTACCAGAGGGTAGTTGATCTTTCCAGCTATAAACCTCCATTTAGTTCAGGGATTTCCCGGCTTGCCACCATTGATCTTCCCATCATAAATATCCCATGAAATCATGTCAATTCCCTATTGTTGATGGTCAATTTCCCATTCACATCTATTAAAACCAGGGTTGACTAGGGATTAGAATCCCCATTCCTGATGGTTTACTTCCAGTAAAATCCTATGAAATCCTCTGAAAACCCAATGAGGTCCCATTCAAACCCTATGAATAGCTGGATCCCGCTTTGATTGCAGGCCCAAAGTCGGGTTCTGCGGAGGTGGCTGCCATCCTTCGCCTGGCACGACGTCGAGGCGCCGCCGGTGGCACCGGGGTCGTTTGGGTTTAACGGTTTTTACCCCCTAGGAATTGTTGTTGCTTGGGTGAAAAATCATGTGGGTTGAACCGCTTTTTTTTGGAGGGGGATGGGTCAAAAAGGCCGACAAGGGGCCACAGATTTTTAGGATTAATGTTCTATCTAATTATTGGGGGACCCAATTTTGACCTACACCGTAGCCTACACCATATTTGACAGTTTCATATAGGTCACAATCAAAGCCAGTCAACCATCATTCATTTTGAGAGTTTCATTGGTCATAGTCACATTTCGACATGTTTTTTTGGCCAACCATGACTGGTTATAGTCATATCATTCCACATCTCCCCATTGCTTGGCAAATTAAGATTGATATCTCACACACACATACGTACACACACACACATATATATATAATATCTATATATCTTTATATCTATATATCTATATATCTTTATATACCTATACACATCCACATATTCGACATATCCCAAACCTCCGCAGCTCCAGATGGCGATCAAAGCTTCGCGAAAGCGCAGGGCTTGGAGGTGCGCAGTATTGCGCAGTTCCGTCGTCGAAGGGAAGGGACCCCTTTGGGTTGATTCCTTTGGAGACTATACACGGTTGATAAATGATGAGAATATCCAATATATGGATTGAGGGATATTCAGGGTCATCACAATCCATTGATATTAGAAACTGACCGTGTTTTTTTCTTACAGAACTTAGTCAGTCGCGTCATTTTTTCATCAAATCACTGGATCCGATGCTGTGCAGATTGTGGCCTCCACGAACGTGGAGACGTCGGAGACGTAAGAGACGTGACAGACAGTGAGGGTGTTGGGGGGATTGATGGATGGCTGCTTATGATGGCGATGATCTGAGGAATTTGAGTCATGATGATGATCATGGTTAATACTGGTTATTTGAGTCATGAGTCATCACAACATATCACAACTATCAATGGTTATCATGGTTATCATAACGCTATGATGGTCAATGATGGTTGATGATGACGATGACGGCAGACTGTCCCAGAAAGACCGAAGCGGCTTCCGCCGTGGCTCAAGCCTCATGGGATCCCAAGGCATCCCAGCAGTATTGTCAGTGCTGCATTCCTGCGTTATCGCATTGGTTAAACTTCCATCGCCCCTTAGTTTCACCACGTTCCACCTTTATTCTACCCCACAATTTGGTGGTTGATTATCATTTTCCTACTTAAACTGCCACAAATTGGAGGTAAATTCGGCCTTTTAGTTCATTATTTTCCGGATTCCACATGGATTTTCCATGGCCGACCTCCAAAACTTCCTTGGAACCTCCAAGGCTTAGAGCCTCCGACGTGGCCAATGCGCTGTGGGCCTGTGGCAAGCTGCAGCTGAAGGCCATGGAATGCTGCCTGTGTTGATTGTTTCATCAGTTCTTTATATTGCATAGCTACTATGTTTCTTCATCAGTTTATGTTGATGTTGTTGATTGTTTCATCCTTTTCAACGACCACATCAATATTACTGGAACGTGCCATCTGCCATCAAGGTGGCAGCATTTTCGGATGCCGTGCGACGAAGGGCGCTGGAGACTTTACCGGTGCGGAGACCCTAGCGGAATCGAGGTGAGAAGAGGCGGTTGGTGCAGCTTAGCTGGGCGGCCAGATGATCCAATTCGATTTAGAGATGGAGATAGGTGGAGTTGGGCGTCATGATTTCATCATATTTCATCCCTTTCATGGGATATTTCGGGACTTCAGGAGGTGCCCCTAAGGGGGCCCGCATCACCTCATCCACTGGACGCTGGGACCGGAAAGCCGAGGAGTTTGCGGCTACTGACCTGGCGTGGGGCCATGGATCATCCTGGGTCCGTGGGAAAGTTTGACCATGTTTATATCATTTCTGTCCACTGATGCGTGAAATCTGGCAGATCCAATTTACCCAACAAACCTTTGAAACCAATGTCAGAAGTACATCCTGACCTCTTGGGGTGGCAGTCCAGTGGGTTTTGGGACAAAGATTCCCCTCATCTTGGGCCCAAAGCACATTGGATTGCAGAGGCCAAAACTGCCTGAGCATTTGCGAGGTGCAGCATGGGAGCTCCTAGGAGGGATGAAGAAGATTACTGTAGTGTTAGTAGTGTTTTTTTGTTTTCCCATTTTCCTCCTTTTTTTTCCACACCATCTTGTTGCCCCAAAGCGTCGGCTGGATCGGATTTTGGGATTCCAAAGGGTCCATGTCGGCAGCCGTATGGCTCCAACGTGACCGGCGCGTGGCCGGCACCTGGCCGGGGGGCCCACACTCTGATTTGACCCTGAGTTGACCCTGATATCGTGTCATTTGCCACTGAGATTTGATATTGAAGCAGCCCCAAACTCCAAACATAGCAATTCACATGGGTGAACATCAACTTCCAAATTCGGTCTTGAGGGTTTCATGATGATTCATGTCATTTTTCAGTGGGAACCAGGTGAAGTCATGTCAGGCGCAGCGCAGGCGCGGGTGTTCCATGGTAGTGGCGGATCATTTTTTGGGGTCAGGTCCCATAGGATCTAAGCAAAAGCATCCAAAAGCCTCAACTGTTTGGAAACTCATCTCATCTCCGCAGCAATTTTCGGTTGCCCCGGCAGAATGTCTTCCACTTCAAGCTAGTCTTGCTGGGCGATGCCTCTGTTGGCAAGTCGGGCTCCAGGCATTCATGGTGAAGCTGGGACACCTTTCGTCAAAAAATCGCAGCCCCCCATCCCTGCAGTGAAAAATCGACCGAGGTCCTGTTTGGTGGTGCGCTTCGCGAAGGGCGAATTCTACGAGTACCAGGAGCGAAGTTTTGGATGACTTGGGTGCCCTGCAACAGGAGGTTGGGGCCAGTCATGGGCGCGTGGCTGTTTTCTTTGGTTGAACATGCTGGCTATGGATGATTATGGCATGATTGCTCATCATTGGTGACACAGCATCGAAGTAGACAAGTACTTGTTGGTTCATCTATATTCATCTTGCTTAGTCAGCAGATTCTACATCAGGATATATCTGTGGGCAAGTAGGGTCAGTCCTTTTTTTTTTCATATCTTTGAACTTCGAAGATTTCAAAGTGAAGCTAAATCATGCCAGATGCAGTTACATCAGTTACACCCTACACACCTTAAGAGGCAGCTACACCCTACCGCAGCGCAGGAGCCCACCATCGGCGCGGCCTTCATGACGCAGACGGTGAACTTGAACTCGGAGGTCGAACTTGGTTCGTTTCTGGAACCCCATCGGGTAGAGCAACCCCTGGAAGTTGAGATAGGCAAATTGATAAAGTCAAATCCGAACCTGAAACAACGGGGAGTTATTTTTTCCTATCTTTTTTGGAGTTAATTTGGAGTTAATTAGTATACACCAGTATACACATGATCAACCACAAAATGTGCCATGGAAGATTGACACTTATAGGATTTGGGTCATCCCCAAACATCTATAAACGGTTGTAAACGTGGCTTCTTTCTGGTTTCTTATAGTGTTTTGCCGAGTGGTATGGGGATGGGTCATGCTACATTTTTCGGCGCAGAGGTGGTGAAGTACGAGATTTGGGACACCGCAGGGCAGGAGCGGTACAAGAGCCTTGTGCTGGGACCCCAAGGGATGGTATGAGTAGAGGCAAGCTGTGTGGGCCGTGTGGGCTTGGATGTCATGGGAGCTTGCTGGAACCTTGGGAGTCAACATAGATTCAACAAGACGCCAAGAACAACTCAGATTGGGCCTTTCCAGTCTGATGCTTCGCAGGCGTCCATGTCAAGATTGAACTAGAGGACTTCCTGACCATCGCAGGGACACTATTTCCCAGCAAAATGCCCCGGAAGCGAAATTGGCACGAAAGCCTTTGGGAGGTACAACAAGCCATGGGTTTTCTATTGAAAGTCCCAAGAAAATTCCTCCAAACCCAATCAGGGCCCACGTCAACTTTCAGGCCCATGTACTACAGAGGCGCCTGAGCCTCAGGCTACGGCTGGCCGCAGCTCGGAGCTGCGGGGACGGACCTTCACTGAGGCGGCTGCGGCGGTGATCGTATACGACATCACTTCCAAGGCATGGTGGATGGATGGTGGATGGTGGATGGATGGTGGAATTTCCCAAAAGTTCCGGGGAGAAGTCGTGATAATCATGGCATGTCGGGTTCAAAGTTCAAATGGAGGCATTCTCCCAGTGCCATCTTGGATTGCGGGAAGGTAATTATATGTAATTATGAAGTCTTTCCCCATTGGTGAATGATGTTGCCATTGGGCTTTTCAAGGGCCATTTGCTGGTGCAACTTGGAGCAACCGTAGTGCCAGAGAAACCATATGGGTTAGAGATACTGATGATTAAGCAAGTCCCGTATTGAAGATGCTTGCAGTTGATCACACTCAGTTACAGTTGCAACCTGTTACCTATGCGCTCAATGGAAACACATTCAGCTCAGAAGTGACCTGTGGCATTTTAGCAGATTCATCAGTTCAGGACTTTAGGGTCCCTCCAAATCATGGCCTCCCCAGCTGGTAGGAGTCCTTCGATGCAGCGAAGGGCTGGGTCTCCGAATTGCAGGGTACAAACACCTTGATCGCCCTGGCTGGGAACAAAGTGGACCTGGAAGCCTCCAGGGTGGTGGAGCGGGAGGCGCCACGACCAAAATTCTTGGACGGCCTGGGCGAACGCAGAAGTTGGGCAGTTTCAAGTCTAAGAGTCTAACATATAGAAAAAGCAGAAACTTATAGAAACTACTAAGATCTACTAAGAACCAATACCATTCTGGGGGGTAATTTGAAATAATTCTAGATGGTTTTGACAACTGATGAAAGGATTAATCATCCCATCCTTTGTAAACGATCCAAGTTCCGACGCCAAGCTCCGCCAAGCTCCGCAAGACACAGCTGCCAGGCGGTGCGCGCCTATGCAGAACAGATGGGTGTGCTCTTCATGGAGACTTCCGCCAAGAGCGGACAGAATGTGGCCACCTTACAGCCAGAGGGGGCTCCTACTGGACACTTCTGCAAGTAGAATTTGGGCTCAGAAAGTCCCATGTCAAGCAACAAAGCTATAGATGATGTTGCTATATGTTGCTAGTTTTAAAGGATTGATTTGGTCCAGGAACTTGAAGCACGATTTCCTATGGGTGTGACGAGCCTCCAGATTCTCTAGGAAAAACACCCGACCGAGGTGCAGGAGTTGTTCCGCGAGATCGCCGTGCGCCTTCCGAAAGACTCCGAGGAGTCCGTTGGATCCGTTGGGGTGGAAGTTCCAGCAACAAAAACATGGTTTCGTTCGGGTGAAACAAAATGTGTTGAATATGAATGGGGGATGGATGGGATGGGATGAGATTGATGCTTGGGCTTTTGATATAATTGATGTAATTGATGTAGTTCCACATTGTTACCTTACAACATTTAAAACCTGACGCATGATGAAGGAGATGTTCAAGTCCCGATCTTGCAATGGACACTCATCTAAAATAATGTCTACATGCGGATCTTCAACGTTCAGGTTAGTTTGGCAAATGGTAGCTTTCAACTGGAAATTTGAGTTTCTGAAAGCTACCGATTTTGGATGCATACGCACAGCCGAAAGCGTGTCAGGAGGTACACTTTGGAAAAGCACTTTAAGCTGCATGTTTGGAATATCACTTGACGAACAAATTTGAACAATATAAGTAGTATCAATCAAAGACTGCACATTTGTTGCCAGCCATTGCCATTTCTTGCTGATTCCTCTTGTATTTGATTTGCCTATCGGCTCAGCCCAAAAAGTGCGACCGTCACGGCCGGTTCTCTGCTTCCACAGCTGAAGCATCTGCCCCTCTCGAACTAGGCGCCGTTAAAACAAAAACGCTATGGGTTGGCCAGGGGTCCTTTAAGCATGGAGGTTTCACCAGCAAAGACAGTGAGTTGACCCACCCCCCGTAGAACAGGTGTCTGAACATCTAATTATAATTGCCTTTGGCACATTCCGCCAGCCGGTCTTTGGGATTTGGGGTTTGTAAAATAAACGCATGTGGCATGTGGTGTGATCCGAGCGAGTGGGTATGGAAAGGTGTGCGGGAGAACAAACAGATACATCAGATACAAAAAGCATCTGCGTCAAAAGCTGCCTTGTGTATATATAATATTATAAGATATTAAAAGTAATTTTGATTCACAGCTGCTTGGTGTAAAAAGCTTGTGCTGCAACCGCCTGTTGGTGCAACGGCGGCTACCTGGTTGAGCAGTTTGCTTTGCCTTTTACAAAGACACACGTGTAATTTATAGGTAATATGTGCGTACATTGTACATTCATATAAGCACAGACGCATGTACACTGCACGACGACCAACAATAGCCAGCGGATTTTCGTTTTGGAAGGTTTAAACATGTCCGCTGAACCCCCTTTGTGCCCACCACGGATCCGTATATCCTTTGACGTGCTCAAATCCCTTCATAGGGCTAGAGTTTTTTACCTTCCAAAACAATAAACCCTAAAACCTTAACCTTAAATCCTGAAACCTAAAGTCAAAATCGCTCCGATTACCCAGTGTGTTTGTTCATTTTTAGGCGACAAGTATATGATATTGTCTGGGTGTGTTATTTGGATGTGGGCGAACGTGGGGGTTGGCGCCAACATTTTTGAACCATTGTATAAAATGGTGGTTGGGTAGTGCCAAACCCCACCAAAAGGTAAAACTGCCAACCCTGAAGATCCTTATCCTGATATTTGGCTACCAGTATTCAAGAGCTTCCGGTCATGGTGAGGTCATACCTGCATAGAGAGGAGTCTATTCTTTCAGAGTGCCACCAATGGCTGGGTGATTGCAGATCATTTTAGTATCGTCTACCAAGTCCAAAAATCAACGGTGGCAGGTGGCGCTCAGTATATTTTAATTATATATTATATATTTTTATATCCTGTACAGAGCCACTTGTTTTTGAGGGCACTTTTATTGGGCATCCCATTTCCACTCAGTGATTTGCGGCCAGGTGATCACCGCGCGCCAGAATGTCGGCAGCAGTGTGCATCCCAGTCCAGATTTCCATATTCGAGCAGTTTTAATTTGGGTGGGAAAAACCCAGACATCAAAAAAAAGCACAATGAAACCTTCCAAAACGATATTTATAATTTATATGTATGTATATATATATATTATATGATTTTGGTGAAAAGGAGTGATTTGGCGTGATTCGGGCGTGATTTGGCGTGATGGGGGTTTGGACAACCCCAAAATGGTTGTGTAAAATGATCCAATATATGGTATATTTCATTAGGGGCACCTCTTCTATACTGGCTATACTCACAAACCCAAAATTCGACAAAGCAGCTTCGGGCTGAAAAAACAACTGCGTGCTGGAATTCTTGCCAGGGCAGTTTTTTTGAAACTAATTAAAGCCTGAACAGCCTCAGGCTAATGTCCTTTGCACAGATTTAGGTATATTTCATGGCCACCCGATGGAGTTTCAATTCTCATCCAGCGCCACGCAGGCAGGGCAACGCCCAGAAAAGGAAAGGGTGCGAGACCGTGACAGCACGAACAAGGCCAGCTGGGAAGAAACGATGCTCTTATTGTGATGTTGACGGTCTTGGCAATGTCCGGTAGGATCCCTCTTACTGTACTTACTGTTGATACAGTGTCGATAAAGAATCCAGTGCTGCTTCGTAATCTTGGGGACGGGCTTACTTGAACTCAGTGGAACTGGGTATGATTTGGTGTTGGGTGCCCCCAGCAGCCCTTCCGAAGATATTGTGCAAGTGGGCAATCAGAAGTACTCTTCTAAGATGATGCCTGTCAGTGAATATTCTGACTCTCACAATGAGAACACTTTGGTGACTTGGTGACTATCATGTCTATTTCATGTCTATTTGCCAAATGGCGATTTGCTGATGTTTGCCTCACTTTGCCACACTTTATTCGACAGGTCCAACTGAGAGATGATGCCACGGAGGCCGGGGAACCCCCGGGCCCCCGAGTCGCCACAAGTGTGTAGATCCATCAGTGGGTCGTAGGTTTCCGTGTGCAAATTCAGAGGATTTCAGTGAGAAATTGAGAGGGCCGGAGTGGGGAGCAGCATAATCGGCACCTTTGATTTTGCACTGGAAAGATTGCAAAGGAACTCAAGATGCTTGGTTTTGCACTTTCTGGCAGGTGATGAAAAAGAATTGGCTGGTTCACTAAGCGTATCTGGTTTCATTCCGCTACCACGGAATTTCACGATGGTTTAGGTCTTGGTACTCTTTAGCCCGGGTATTGGTGATGTAATGGCGTTGCAAAGCTGTTTCAAAATCACGAGCGGGATGACTTACCGCGCGTGTCCTCCAAAGGGCCTTCAAGATGCAGCAATGGAAATCATTTTGGTCACCTGGGAACGTCCTTGTACCACAGCGAAGCCTACGATTGAAATGGCTCGAAAGATTCTCAGGGTATGGTTTACAATATTTTTTCTTGCAAGCATCCTGATCATTCAAACCGTGACGAAGCGGTTTGTGGGCCCAGGGACGTGAGTTTGGGAGCGAACGGGTAGACAGGACAGGAACTTGATCTGATTGGCGACAAAGGTAGGCTGGTAGACAAGACTTAGTATGACTTACCATCTCTTGACAATCTCTACATTGTGTCTGAAAGGGGTTTGTGACAGGCCCACTAAAGGTGAAACCCTTGCCCAGGGGTCAGAAGATAGCAGTGATGTGATTGCTCCATTTGGGCCGTTTTCTTTTAATACCGGAAGGAATTTGTATACGAGAGGAACTCATGCTACTCGTATGTCCGCGTAGGCTCTGCACATGATTTTTTGGACGTCGTGGATGCGCGTAAGACCTCTCGACCTTTGCATAGCCCCTGTGAAAGCTTCTGCGTAGGCACGACTGGTAAGCATTCTTGTGTGTGACCCGCGTAAGCAACTTTCACTGGTGTGCAGCCATGCAGGCCACCCCCTGCAGCTGCTTCCGCTAGGTGCTGAGCCAGCACGACAAGGCCGGTGCGACTACACAGCGTCAGCTGGCCGTAGATTTCGACGTCCATTGGCCTCAGAAAGGAGGGCTTGAAATCTAAAAACCTAGGGATACTAAAGGCCCAAAATCACACGATCCCAATGTCTGATTCTCTGCTGATTTTCGGCACAAACAGAAAGGTGAAGCATGTGCAAGACCAATACTTCCACGAATACAGGTACCAGACTTCTGAACCCTCTGGTTGTCCAAACAAGACTTGGCACTTGAACCTCCAAAGATGCTTGGTCAATTCCTGTGCATCACTGGTTGATAACGGGACCGTGTGGAAAGATCCTGACATTTCATCCTTTCTTGTAACCAGCCTGGAAGCATGGCCACGTTTCTGCCAGCAATGGGAGGATGATGAAATTCAGTAGTTAGTTGTATTTTGCTACCACAAAGACATGATGTGTGGTGTCGCTTTCGCAATGAAGGAAAAGACGAATCCAATCAAACTTCATAGTTCTTGAATGGTGAGCCAAGTAGAATTGCCGCCGTGAAGTCGGGCTGTGTGAAGAGCATTTTTGGACAGCTTGAAGGGATCAAGATATTGGTTTGCATGGGTTGGGCCAGGCTTGTAGATGGTCCATTCAGGAGAGATGACAAGTATATAAAAGTACCATGGACATGATCCCCATAACGCATACATGACCCAAGAATGTTCCCAAGAGAGAACTGCGCAAAATTTGAAGTACTTAAATGATCTTAACTGTAGACATGGCCTACTCCGATCTTGTTTTCTTGCAAATCACCTAATCAGATCCAGTCAGTAGTTCATGTGACATCCTTCCCTCCCCAAATGGTGTCAAGATTATGAACTGGCAATGGTTTGGCCCGACCCTGGAACCTCCCCCAAAATGTGTCAAAACCTGCCACTGTTCTGAGCGCGAGCGCCTGCTGAGGCACGCGCGGTGTTGCCCTCAGGAATTGTTGGCGTGTTAAGTGAGTTTTGGTTGGCGTTTTCTGCGCAAAGCTTATTACTTCCAGCTGGCGGCTGGCGTGGCCAGGTTCAGCAGGCCAACTGTCCGGTCCCTAACCAGCCTCAAGCGTCGGATTGGTCTTCAAACTAGATGTCGGAATACTGGGAAGAATTTAAGGTAAATATGTATGTGTGTGTGTCTGTGTTTTATGTACATATACTATATCTGTATGTTATATATATATATACGGATAGATTACAGGTACATATTTCAGTAATGTACCCCATTGTCAGGAGCGTTGCAGTGATTTCTCACAGTCCAATAAGGATAGTGAATGGATATACCCTCCGGTAAACTAACATAACTATGGAAAAGCACTTTTTTAATGGGTAATTCAACTATAAATGGCCATGTTCAATAGCTTTTTGTATGTTTACCAGAGGGTAATTGATGATAAGATGGCCATTTTCGGGTTCTTAAAATTGCATCAAGATCTTCAGATCTAAACCGGGAATTCTTTGACGCAGGATGGCGCTGACTGATGGTTTCAGCATGTGAAGCTCTTTAAAGCGGAGCGTAACGTTCCTGAGCAGTGGGTTCTGCAGAACAATTGTCTTGTTCACAGGATCCCCGTGGCAATTTCCACTCTAGAACTGGTGAACCTGTGCATAGTTTAAACGAGTTTTTTTAATGTATTGGAATTTCAAAATTGATGTCAGGCTAGTCATTTTATTGTTGGGGGGTTGGTCTGAGCATTTTATTGGCAAGGTAAATCCTGATGATTTTTAACATGTTAAAATTCCATTCTCATTTTATTGCAAAAAAAAAGTATGTTTGGAGGAGCATTTTATTGCAGAATGGAACCAATGCTTTTCCAGGATCTTTTTATATCGATTTTATTGGGCATGTCATTTTAGATTTGAAGGAATTTTCAGGAATATTAAGGAATTTTAAAGGAATTATAAGGAATATTGAGGAATTTTAAAGGAATTATAAGGAAATTGAAGGAATTTAGAGAGTTTTAAGGAATTTTAAGGAATCTTAGAGGAATTTTAAGGAATTTGAAGGAATTTGGAGGATTTTTAAGGATCTTTAATGTTTAAGGAATTTTAAGGAGTTTTTTGGAATTTTAAGGAATTTAAAGGATTTTTAAGGAATTTTAAGGAATTGCCACGAAAGAATGCCACCGTATTTTGTTGCTATAAAATGCTATAAAAAAAGAAAAACACTTAATATTTGGGCACCTTCACTCTAAAATACCCCTATCTAAAAAGAATTTCCTGACCCCTTTTTAAAGAGGCGTTTCTGAGGGTCTTCGAAATTGGATGAAGTTGGATGCAAATTCGGGCATGAATTTGCTGGCAAGGCATTTTATTGCAGAACCAGTTCTCATTGCTTTTGTGCATTTTAAAGCCTGGGGCCCTATGCACAAAAGTTAGACCGCTCTAAAACTCCTGCACAGCTTCACATAATGAAATGGAACCCCGATTTCACAGGCACATATACCATAATTCTGTGTTTCTCTTGTCACCCAACAAAACCAAGTAGCAATCCCTTATACTGAAAGGTTTGTGACCACCAAGTCTGTCGTATTGTCCTGGAACTTGCGGCCCCAGCTCAAAGGCCAAGTTTACTGATGATAAGTTTTCGGACTTTGCCGGAGCGAAGAGTAGCTGTGCGGGTTTTCGATCTTGTTCAATTCAGCTTCGCAGCCTCAACAGTGCCTCACGCTGCTACATCCATGTCGCTTCGATTTTGGTGAAAGATTCGGGAAAGATTGGATTCACATGAAGTTTTGATAATTTGCGACGGATCGTTTGCCTTTCGACACGAAGCGACCTGGACGAGCGACAAATACCGAGCTAGGAACACAGACGCGCACATCTTGATTGGAGATGATGCACCGACGTCTCAGGGTTCTCAACTCCGAATGAAGCACTTTTTCTCGTACCTAGCTAAATGCACGTGGGACCCGGGCAACTTGGTACAGATTTTAAGCAACAAATGAGCCTCGGCTACTTGTTGACCCAAGCTCACTCCTGCAACAGGCAGAGTGGCAGAGTGTGGATGTAACCATGCATCATTAACATGTAAGTGGAAGAAAAACAATTGGCACTTGATAATTTATGATAATTTATTAAGGTTTGATTTCCAGGTTTGTTTGCTTCCCAGTTCCGCCACTTGGATTTTATACTCTTCGTATCTCTGACATTCCCAGCCGGAATCATTGGTATGGAAAACAAGTGCTGCGTTTGGCTTCGCGCCCGGGCTTTGTGCCTCAAACACTGTAAGGATTTGTTCCATGCTCCAAGAGAGGACCATGTTTGAATTTTAGTGACTAGTGATTCTGATGTATTGCCACCAAGCTGTGGGTACCGTTGAAGAATGGAAGGGTTGTGGATGGCCAATTTTTTGCGGGACCTTACGTGCAGAAGCATCTGCCCTGACTAGGAGGATGACGAGAAAGCGAAAGGATTCGGCGTTGCGAGGCTGCAGATGGCGCGAGCAGGCTGCAAGATCCTTTAAGATAGAAGGGTACTCGTACCATTGTTTTGCACAAACCCAGGTGGTAATGTGAAACACTGTTGGGTTGCCTACTTTCTCCTACTTTCAATGGACGATTCACTCTTTTGCGGTTCCGGTCCGATCCAGTCATGAATTCCTTCTGCTCCTTTCAGCCGATAGCCTACTATGAAACAGCCACACGTAGCTCACCAGCCTCATGAAAAAAACAGTGAAGTGACCTCTCCCAAAGCTCACCACTTGGAGGATCAGCCAACGTCACCCAGGTTGGAGTGAAGGGAGCCGCACCCAAAGCTGCCGGCTGCTGCGGCTGGAGCTGAGATGGGTCGCTGAGGAAGTCAGTGAGTGGCTGTATACCTATCAGACCTACATGGTTTTTGGGTAAACGAATACGTTTGAGAAAAGTGAGTTGCATGTACAGTGATTATCAGTGATTGTTATGGTCCAATAATGCTTGTTTTCCTTTGCATCCCAGCTTCTTTGTCATATCTCCCGGGATTTCAGTGATGGCTGCCGCAGCCCAGATTGCCCAGATCCCGAGAGCTTCACATGTCTTCCAGGGCCTAACGAGCCGTTTCGGAGTTCACATTTTTGCCACGGCTACACCCAGCCATTGGGATGCAGATCGAGGTTTCGGGCCTTTTTTTAACCTTTCTGATGATTTGAGTTAGGGGATCTTTGGAGGTTTCCCAGATCCCAACTCATAGCTGCTAAGCTATGCTATGCTAAGCTCCTCCGTTTGGAAAGTACTGGAAAGTCGAAGTGTCCGCGATCTGCGTGTACCCAGGGACACTTGCAGGCGACCCTGCAGCCTACTTCGCCTGCGCGACAGTGCCAGAAAATGGGGGCTCGTTGACCAGAATGTAAACATTTTAAATATGTTCTTAGATAACCAGCTGGTTTTTTTTGTCGCATTTTCTTTTTATGGTCGGTTCAGAGTTCAAATCATTCAAATCCCATCAAATCCCTCTGGATGTTTATATTACTTTTACATTTCCCAATTTTGGTGGGTATAAGATATATTAATATATAAACATCCAGAGGGATTTGATGGTATATTTTTTCCATCTCCTGTCCCTTTTCGCCAATCTCCCCAGACCTCCCCAGATGTCGCAGGCTGCGTGACTTCAGTCAGCCATTCTTTGAAGCTTTGGGGAATGCCTCCTGCAGAGTGAGGAGCCTCGGTCAAAACGGGCATGGTTTAGTTCGGATATATGATATATATTGATATATGCTATATCTGAAATCTCTGCATAACTATAATATGATATGTACTGTATAACTATTGTAACTTAACTATATCTGGATCATCAACATCAGATAGATCATCCAGATATGTAATCCATGTACACATCAATCATGATCGGTGCTACTGTTTTTTTTTAATAATAGGCTGTAAGTCATATCCAGCCGATAATTGATGACCATACATGGCCACGTCGTGGTGATGCAAACTCTTCGGCAGGGGGGTGATACGCTCCAAGGTGGGTGTTAAGTGATTGACAGGCGTTTGGTCTAATAAGTGGGGTGTACTACAATCACCAATGTGGCAAATACAATATAAAGACATACCCAGATATACAATAAACCATCCCCAATGACTCACCAGAAATGGGTTGTATAATCCCTCACCAAATGGTAGGTTTATTAATGTCTATTATTATAGTCTATTATTCATGTCTATGAGTCTATGATAAATATTATTGGTTAATATTGTTACCCAAGTGGTAGGTAAACATTGCCAGGGCCAGAATCTGATTTTTGCGCAGCCATTTCTGCCCTCTCAGCCATCGCGACAGCCCGAGAGACACCTCATTTGTCGAAAGGACGGGAGTGTTCAGTGGGAGTGACTATAAAAACAGGACAGTTTGCCATAGTTTGCTCAGCCATATGTAAACTTGTAAACTTTGTGGTTTTCTGAGTCATTTTTGCCATGGCTAAAATGGGATGGTGACTTGTGACCCCAGTGAAATGACAGCAGAACCTTGCAGGATGCAGAACGCACAGCAGATGCCTGACACCGCCCCAAAGGTCAATGCCTTCCGCAGCTATTGCATTCAGGCGATAGTCGAAAAATCGCGAGAAAACAGGGCGAGCCCTACAAATCCATGCGTTTTTTCCATTTGTCGAAGAGATTCGCAGATTTTTCAGATGGGGATGAAGCAAAGCAGCCCCCGTAGCTTTGAAACCCGCCCCTCCAGCTTCATTATTCTTTGGGTGCTTTGGAGAGACAGCGGTTCACTGGAAAGAAGTCGCTTGAAATTCTTGATTCTTCCATTAGCAGTTGTTGAATCGGAATTTCACTACCTTTCGCATACGCACATATGCTAAATTATGTATAGTAATAGCATTCATAATGCACATATATCATATAGATATAACATACAGTAGACTGGATATAGTTACAGAATGTTATAGATATGTTCATATCAAGCATGTATAGTACACGCGGACGTACATAGTATATAAATCATACACCATATCAATTGTTTTTTCTCCTCCTTCGCAAGCTTTTCAGCGCGCAGTTGGTGGATCAGCTGTGCGTCGAGTTCGAGCGTGAGGTGAACCAAATGTCCAAGGACCTGGGACCCCTGGGACCTGGGACCCACCGGGATTCCCCATTTGTTTAATGGGACGGTTTTGGGATAAGTAAATGATCAACAGGGTGTAACTTATCCAATTGATGGTAGAAATTGGAGGTGAAAATGGAGGATTCACCAATTAATTAAGCCTGAAAATTGCCCTCAAATGGCAATTTTGATGGAAAAAAGTATAGGAAGATAGATAAGATAGGCTGCCCTAGTTCCAGAGTCTTTGCCTGTCATTTTTTCACTGTAATTTTGGACAGGTGAAGGGCCCTGAATTGGCGTGAAAACATTGGTCAAAACTTGATTCATAGAACCTCGGAAAAGAACACGTCCATTTCTTGTGGATCTCTATCACAATCTCTGCCCTTGACCATCAATGGAGCATGGCAAATGCCACAACACCAGAAAAACATCCAGTTAAAACCTGCATTTTCCATGATTTTTGTGGTGTTTATACCCAGACCCAGATCTTGGGTCAGAAAAATTATGAAAAATCTGGATCGCCATCTTTTCTCAAAGGAACCTGCCATTTTCATCCCGTTTCCACGTCATGGGACCCAGCTGTGGCAGGACATCCTGCTGTACCGTGGTGAGCTAGCACGCTGCGCCGACCTGTTGGCCTTCCAATTGGGGAAGGAGATCCTTGGCGTCCTGGGTTAGGGGCTGGGGAAAGGATGGGGCTGATGGATGAGCGAAGGTTGGGACCATTTTTGGAGGAATAGGTGGGTTCATTTCTGTTTCACATGAGCGATTCTAGAGGAAGGACCCTCGGACTCTTCACATAGGTCAGTCATTGACCTCAAGGAAGCCGATGGTCCCATGTGGCAACCCTGAGATGGTGCTGATAATTTTTAGTGGTCCCCCAGATGATGCTGGCAGAGGAGAAGAAACCTGTCAATCCATTTTTTTTGTGGCTCCCAAGGAAGGAATACCACAACATGCTTGAGAACATCGCTGGGAACAGCTCCATGTTGGTTGGCAAAGCGGCGGAGGTGCGCTGCTCTGCAACTCTAAACCGGAGGAACTGATGGAAGATGTCGGACATGTTGTCTTGGAGCATCAGTAATTCTTTCACCCCAATATTAACACCCACCCCAGAAACCATGGCTTAGTAGGAGATTTACACGTATGCGGACCCAACTGGGGTGTAGGGGGATAGGATTCTCAGCTCAACAAACGGTAGAAACTGGGACTTGAAAACCCCCTGAAGATGAAGATGAAGGGCAAGTATCCCAGATGGCAGCTCATGGCAGTTTCCCGAAGTTGCCTCTGTAGGTGGGCCAGAAGCATGGCCAGCATGATGCAACCAAGCAGCAGATGCACCAAATGCTCGAAGACATGTTCGCAGGCCCATCGATGGTCTTGGGGATGTCGCAGTTACCCAAGCAGTGACCACGGGATTTGGTTGGCGGAGTTTTTGGTAATGAGGTTGCGATCTCCATGATGTTTCTTGGCTTCTTGATTCATTTTCAATCTTTACATTCTGCAATCCGCATTTCTATTGCTTTTTATCGATTCTCATGCACATTTGGGGCAGCGAGATCATGCGATCCATATTTTTCCATGATTAATTTCCTTCCGCCACCCTGTCCTGCCCGAGCTTGGCCGCTTGGGAGGTGGCAAGGGGGCCTTGGCCGACAGCTTTGGCGGTTTGGATGAGCACCGCCAACTTGCAGAGAAGCCACTTGGAGGGGGTCGATCGTTGTGGGTCGATCGTTGCGAATCTAAGGCAACCGTAGCTGTAAAACAACTTCCAAGGTGAAGTTAATCCAGAGTTGGCTACTGGAATCAGCACAAGCAGAAGGGATATTGTGAAGAAAGGTGGTAATTATCTTCCAAACAGTGGGGGAACCAGCAGATACCAGCAAAAAGGGCACAGAGAACCTCAGGTATGGCTCATAGCACCTCCCGAAAAAAGGTAGAATCAGATAGAAATTGCGTTTTAACTTTGACTTAGAATCCCATTCATTCCGTTTTTTTTTAAAGCAGTTAGTTTGAGGTTTACGGCTTTTAGACTGGCCATGGCAGCCTGGTCTTTGAGGCACCTCATGAGCTCGGCGGAATTGCAGAACCAATCGCAGGCCGTGGCCAAGGAGACGGTGTTTTTTTTTAGCGGCTACATGATTTCGGGGGCAAATGGATTGCAGATGGATTGGCATATGAACCTGCCAAATAATTACAGTAGATTGGTCTCAAGCTTCAATGATAAGTTGCAGGAGAGCATTCTTTTTGATCCCCTGCAAGTATTTGTACCATGTGTGTATATATATATATATGTATATATACGTATATATAAATCTATGAAGTTACAGGTCTTTCCTGTAGGGTTTTCCCTCTAACCAATTCTGCAAGGGACAGGTGGTTGGGCGAACTTGCAAGGGAAACATTTGACCAGCACCTGGCTGCCGCATGGCAATGTTGAGCGCAGGAACTGGACAACATCTTGCGCACCCTAAATGAAGCACCAGTGTCCTATCGTGAAGCGCCTGTGATGATGGGACCGGCTGGGGAAGCTCGTGAGTTGACATGACTCCAGCCTGGCTGAGTGGTAGTGTTTGAATTTGATGACCTGATTTTCGTTTTTGAAGGGGGAAGTCTGCTTCGCTTTATTTCATATACTTGAACTTTGCACGGAATTTGATGCGAAAGATCTGAAAGATATGATTTCTAGCATATTGAGATTGGGGATTTCTACGGAATCAGCGGTGATGGCCCCCACAGGACCTTCGCAGATGCAGGGGCCGCCGCGGCAGAACTTCGGGAATGGGCCACCGCCCATGCAGCTCGGCCACAGTTTGGCAGCTCAAGATCATGGCCCATAATGTCTCATAAGCCAAATGGGCCGTATGGTGCCCCTGTCTGCGATCCAGTATGAGTCTCTTCCCAGGGCACCGGGCGCAGGTACAACGGTCCGAACCAGGGCAACCAGGGGCCGCAGCGCTTCAATTTGCCCGGCACGATGTCGCCCGGATCCTCGCCCTCGGGATACTCGCCGCCAGGGGCTGGAGGCGGGCCTCGGTTTCGGGAAAGCCAACGCTTGAACCATATTTTGATGGTTTATACAGTTTATACCGCCTATTTATTTATGATCACATTGGGGATGGTTTACTGTCTCTTTATGATCGCATTGGGGTTTTGAAAGGTGGCAACGGAGGCCAAAGCAGAAACATCCAGAAACCATCCAGGCCGTGGAGGGGGCATGGCCATGTCTCCCGGTGGTGGTGGCGGCAACTGTGGACGTCGCATGGGAGGGCCGGGACAACAAGTCTGAGGCTGGGGAGCGTATGGTGGGGGATGGGGATGGGGATAATGTGGATGGGGTGAAAATTATGGTCCTCCTGGGTGTTTTTTTTTCCCTTTTTCTGGGGATACATTTGAAACAAAGACTAAACATGGCAGATTTTGTGGGTCGACATCTCATTCGTGAGGGTAATTCACCGAATGGGGATGGGGTCGACAGAATGGCACTCTGGTAATCAAATATTGCAATGGAGGATCCGAAGATATCCCAAGGTTTTGTTAAGGGAAATCACTTGCAGACTGTAGATGACATGAGTTAAGAACCACTCTGTTGATTTTTGGGACCAGGATTTTGGCCCCTCTCCAAGTGATCTCAAATGATACTTGAAGGATTGGCTAGAAGAATGAAGGGTTCAATCCCTGCCAATATTCCGAAGATAACTGAGATACAGAACCTTTTGAAACCTAGGCATACCTAGGCATTGATGGCACCAACCGCTTCCCTCCCCTGGAGCGAAGGCCCACATGGACATGGACCGGGTCGGAGCTGCTGGACGCCTCAGACGGCCGTTTGCCCACTTTGGACGTTCGACGCTGGGACAACTTGCGTTTTGTGGCACTGTTTCTCCGCATCGAAGTGCTCTGTTCATTTCCCCCGAGTTGACCTGCATATTTTTGGTTGCAGTGGCAGGAGACCACATTATATATACACACACACATATATATATATATATATATATATTCGCGACTTCCCCAGCACTGGATCAATTCATCGAAGCCCATGGGGGGCCGGGGGGCCGGGGCGATGCCATTGATGCCTGGGGTTCAGATCATTGGCACCACCTTGAATTATGTGCCCCGCGGCTCCCCAGCGGCTCCGATGCCAGCTCTGACTCTGGCTGCGCATCATGCCCGTTTCACCGTGGTGCAAAGTGATGCCACATGATGGGAAGATGGGGCATCTTCTCAAGATGGTGGCTTTTTCAATTCCCGGAATTGAACATGGAAAATCATGGCAAATCAAAAAAATGTGGAGATTTATCTATCTATAGATATGTATAAAATTGTATACATATATCCGCAAATGAAGCTCCAAGCTTTCCCATGGGTGAATTTGTCCCTTTTCCGTGAGAAGCCACATGAAGCGACCATCCTTGGACCCTTTCTGCTGGAGGTCCCCCGGTAGCCAAAGCCGTCGCTTGTTTCACCTTTTGGCTGCGCCAACCATGCAGTCCAGCACGCTTAAGGCGGTGACTCACGTGGACACTGGATGGAAAGGTCTGCCAGGGCTGGCTACGGGCCACTCTAATGCACAGCAAACCCAATTTTAGCAGATACGAACAAGCTAAGCATCATGTTTGACTTTAAGGAAAGTCATTTCTAAGGATTTTCCTTGGCACCTGAAGATCTTGAAGGGGGTTTCATGGGATTAATCGTCTTCGCTCTGGGAAGGCTTTTGGACGCTGGGGTGAGTTTTTCTGGCCTAGAACGGAAAGTGGATATAGTGGACATAGTGGACATAGTGGACATAATGGACATAGTGGACAGCAAATGCATGACGTCAACGGCATCAGCAGTTGCAGGGCTTTAAGACTTTGCGGTTAGTCGTTTATCCTTTCTCTTGAATTCATAGACCCTGGTTGATTTCTTTGGGGGAAACTATGGTAACCCCCCAATGATCAACATCCTATAGCGAGACCCTTTTGCTCAGGTCTCGGCTGAAGCAACTGCACAGGAACTGTCAGGCCGACCTTGCCACGGGGGCAATTTGGGTTTGGACATATGGGGCTACCCACAGCCATGTTTTTGTTTCGGGATGATCAAGCCTTGGAACTGGCGCCTGATCAGGTCTTGCTTGATCCTTTGCCAAGGCGTGGGGGCTTTTTTTTGGGGGTTTGTAGTCTGTAGTCATCCCCAACAGTAAATTCTCACTAAAATAGTGGTACAGAGAGAGTTACTTATCCTTAGTTGCAGCAAGTTGTAGTGCTGACTTGGTTTCAAATCTTCCTTTCTCATGAGTTGAAGCTCCCTTCCTGTGGCAGCAACCTGGCCAACCCCCCAACCACCCCAACGTCCAACCCGAGAGCCACCCCACCTCCATTTCCCCCATGAAGAAATGGCCCCCTGGAAATAGATCACCTGGATTCGCAAGTGGTCAGCTTCCGATCCTTTTTGCAAATCAGCTTCGCAGAGGGATGGACATTTACCGCTGGGGCATCATGGGAAGCCCTTTGTTGTCCCAACATCACTGGGCGGCGAGGGGTTGGAGGGATTCAATTCCCTGGATCCACCGTGGTTTTTGTTGGGTGTTTAATATGAACGTGGGATGAGTTTAACTTTGGTGGGTTAGTTCTAAACCATTTTTTTCATTAATATACCACTAAATTGCAAATTCAAATCACTATTGTTGATAGTTTACATCCCATTGCATGGGTTGTTAAACCCCATGAACTCACCATTCTTCAGCCAGTCCAAACCCCACACCATGCTGCGGCGCCTGCTGAAGGTGGCTCTGCTGCACCCTCCGCTGCTGCGGTCTTTGGAGGAGGAGTTGATGGCCAAGAGCCAGGAGTTTCATGCGCAGACGCTGGTGAACAGCAGGGGGGCCTGGGATGTATATATTATACGCACATACGCACACGCACACACACACATATATATATATATATGTACATATATATATACATACATACAAGGTGGTGCACCATAGTTAGCTAAGTTTATGGTGGCTATATCATGGTATATCTATAGTTAATGGGGATTGCACACCAACTTATAACTGGGGGGGCACCACCTTATATATATATAGGTACACACATTTTTCTAGATCAGATAGATAGATAGATAGATAGATCGATCGATCGATCGATCCGGATATATGACTTAAGTTGGCTTTAGAGAGCTGGTGGTCAAAATTGTCAAAGGTGATCAAGAATCCAATCTTTTTCAGAGAAACATGGTGACATAGAAACAACCTCCTCATTTCCGGTGTATTGAAACACAATGAAGAATGCAACCAAACACCTTCACATACTATCAATACAGTGCTTGATGTGAATATGAATTGCGGACACTGGACACTGTTTTTGGAGACCACCTGAGACGCGCATAACATGAGAGGACGGTGTTTGCTGGGATCCAAACAGGTCGTTATGGTTCACCCATTTGAGGCTGAGGTTTTTCACTTACTGGGGCCCGTTTGGCCTCCCAAAATTTGAGAAAGTATACATTTCTTCAATGAGCACATACATATACAAAATAATTCTTTCCCATAATATTGTATCCCTATTACATTGCTTGGTTAAGATCTCATGAAATCCTCATGTAACTTGAAACCTTCGTTGTTTTCTTCTCCGAGGTGTGTGAAGCTTCGCCAAGTTGGCCTTTGCTTCGGAGCCTTTCCTTGCTGCAGGTTGGCCGTGGGGCCATCGAGTGACCACTGGGTCCCACGGATTTAAGGATGATGATGATGATGATGATGAAGATGAACATAGTAGGCACAGGCGTGAGATACCCCAGAAGCACAATCCAGATGTTTGGTGTCTTAGGATGGGACAGACAGACTCACAACAATCAGAACCTATTTATTTGGATGATCAGCGTCGCAGGTCATTCCCTTTTCGAAGTGGATGAACTATGATTTCTGCAAATATTACAGCCAGAAAGAAACAATGCCCAAAACCATAGAAAAACAACATTTTGCCAACATACTTTGGCATCACTATTTTAGGGAACGAAACCCCATTAAATCCTCATTGAATCACCATAATCTCATCATTCAACTTTGCAAGGCTGCGCCCGTGCCTTGACGTTGGCTCGGACGCCCAGCAGATGGTCATCCTTTGCAAACCTGGTGGTGGAACAATTTAAAGGCCATTCAATGCCACCAGAACTAACATGGAACATCCATGGGACCCGAGAAATGCTACGTTAGCCCGTTACCATCAGGCAACCAGGCAAGTTCTATAGAACTTTGTCCAAAGATAGGGTACCCCAAAATCGAATGCTGCGTTTTACCTCATTAAAATTGAACACCGCCAATTTGGGGCATATCGCCACATCTTACATATCAGTGATATATCAGTATATCGGAAATGCACCGCCAGCACTGCCGGGATGATAGGAATCATCCACCTTCGGCAGCCTGAGGTCTAGGAGAACGCTTTCAATGCTCAGGAGAATCGGTGGAGAACGACCATCCACGGATGGATCCCATTTTTTTCGGTGAAACCACACATCCAATTTTTCAATGGTTGTATTCCCGGATTTTGGGTGGTAAACTCTGCAGTTTTGCTGGTTAATAACACCTTTCCGGTGGTGAATTGAACCGTGCAATCTTTTTCGGGTACCCTGGTTCACAGGCCAGCGCCTGAACCATGCTTTGCTGCATTTTGCTGCTGGTAGCTCACTTAGAGGCTGATGGTTCAGAGGCCCTACGCCAGCAAATGATTCGATACGATCTCACGGGATCCATATTTAAATATTAATTACTGAATATGATCCCAGAATATTGGATTGAATCTTAAATGATTCAATCAAATTCATCGGATCAATCTTGGAATATTTTTTTTGGGTTTCATTCATTTTGGATTATCTTGGAATATTTTAGAACTCAAATTTGATTGATTACAAATTTAATCACATCAAAAATGTGTGAATTCCCCATATTTTTCCATATTTTTCCCATTGATTCTACTGAGCTCTTCGTTGTGCGACGATGGAGGCCTCTCCCCATCGATCCGCGCCTACAATCCGCGCCAGGACTTGACCAACACTGCCTGGGCCTTGGCGACCACAAGGCGTCTCGGGTGCTGCTCGTGTATCTATCTATAGATCTATATAGATCTATATATCATATCAGTCATATCATCACATCATGTTGTAGCATAAATAAGGCATATTTTTTTTTGGCATATTTATGTATATATTCACGTCTATATTCAGATCTATGGCACATGAAGACAAAAAAGTCTTGAATCCTGTAGCCAGGCCAATATTTTTATGGGTACCTGGCACCATACTCAGAGGGATCATCCCAGCAAAGTAACTGTTGCCCTGTGGAATAAGTCCCACCACAGGTACTGAGGATCATGGAACTCATTAGCATTCGATAGCGAGGCCAATAGTGGCTGGTGATGGTGACGATGATTTATTTTCAGAAGTTGGCCTGGAGTGTCAAGCAGGTTTCGGTTGAATTCAATCAGCTGACAGGTTCGCCCATTTGGAGCTTCTGGATGCCATAGGGCATCGTTTGGGCCTTGGGACCGAGAACTTGGAGATTTTGGAGGATTCAGAGCTACAAACATTGGGTTGGTGCCTCTTAAAATCCTTCAAAGTTGCTTACACAGTTGCTGAGTTCTGCATCCACTTCTTCGTTCCAATTTTCATGTGCAAAACTTGCGCTAAGCGTTCAGGGAAGTTGAATCGGCCAACCAGTTTTCATCAAACGTGGTCTTACTTCTGGTATCTTCTAGTAGGAATGCAACAGGCAATTTGGGGGTACACCATTTCGAGAACGACCCGACTGGGAACTGCTCAAAAATCAGACACCAAAAGATGGAACATGGAAGCGCTCCAAAATATACACCCACAAAAAATCACACAAACAAACAAACAAATAAATAAATAAATATATATATATATATACATATGTATATATGTATATATAGATAACACCACCCCGGGCCCACCATGCCATGCAAAATGACCAGTGGTAACGCGATGCCCAACAAAAATAAGGGGTCGCCATGTCGCCAGGCCTTGAGCGGGTGAGGCTCAGCGGGCAGGATCTGGTGGGGCCCTCAGCTGGTCATGCGACGGCTATTTGATGTTTCTGCAACTGAAAAGTACCCTCTGGTAAACTAACATAGCTATGGAAAATCATCATTTTTAATGGGAAAATCCACTATTAATGGCCATTTTCAATAGCTACGTTAAATTACCAGAGGGTAGATGCACTAAAGAAATCTGGGGTTGGCATTTGTTCAAATGCTGTCCTCGTATGTTTTGTTGGCAGTGTTTGCCACTTCCTTTACACTGGAGGAATGGGCCAAGAACCACGCAATGCTGATACTTTTTTGGTGGCACCAACTTCTACAACAGTCAACAAGTAATAATCCCATCATTTTTATCCATAAATTAGGTCCATTTTGGCCACATCCCAAGCTTGAAATCTTCATCAGATGCTTCTCAGCCCATGGTGCCTGCAGGGGATGGGTCCTAGGCCAATGGCGCTTGAGCCTTCGCCAAGGCGCCATTTATCGGCTCGTTTTGGAGAACCCACAGAACGCCAATGGATCCAATGGGAAAACCCTCGTTGTTGAAATTTGCCACAAAGTATCTCAACAGAGAGAGTATTCCGTGGACTATCCCTTGACCCTTGATCGTAAAAAAAACCTTTTAATGACTAGTTTTTTTTTTTTTTGCGGCCATCGTTATATAATGATTCCGTCCCTGTGGCGGTTTCCTTGAAACTTCGGGCTGCGAACTATTTCCTGAATTGACTCACATAGAATGTCCTGGAGATATCCAGTAGGGAAATCCAATATGGTAAAGTCCCCTCCAGTAAATTAATCTAGCGCAACCTAGCTATGGAAATCCATGCGTTTTGCTTGGAAACTATCTGCAAATGTTGATAATTAGCGGATTTTCCATAGAACTGTTACTTTACACCTTCAAAATAAGGGTACAACTTCGGGGCACGACTTTTTCCTAGTTCGAACACTCGGCAGACGATGCTGCTGCATTGGCCGGTCTTCGAAGTCATCTCAGAGCAGACCTTGGCTAGGAGACCGGCGGCGCAACACGCCACCGGACATTTTCTTGCTGATGGGAAAATTGTTAACATTTATTAGTAAATCACCCTTGCAATTTTCTCGTAACATCACGCATATGAAGAGCCTGGCAGTTGGAGCTGCCTCAATCAGATTCAATCGCAGGGAGTCCTGCCTGGTTGATCCTGGTAATCCAAGCTGGGAAGACAATCTCACTTTCATCATCTTTCATCCCATTGGCAACTATATTCATAAATGGGTTTCACATCATTTATTCCCATTTACAACCACAATCAACCACATCATATAACAATATTAGGATGAAACATCATTTATTCCCAATGATGTGGTTTCACTGTCATAACATCATAACATCACCACATCCTATTTCCCCTCCATTGGCAATCCCCTTTTTTGAGGATCACCGAAAGCGAGCCGCAGAACTTGGCCAACATCGCATGGAGCTCCGCGACGATCAAGTGGTGCAATGAGGTTTTGGTTCGGGAACCCATGGGATCATGGGATCCCATGGGATCGCCATGAAGGTTGACCCCAGGTTGATGTGAATCCGCTAAGATTATGATATCCCCTATGAATATCTATTCATGTTAACTGGGGCTTTCTTAATCCTGGGTTTATATATTTTATATGGTCAATGTGCATATGTCAATGGCCAAATGAGAAGTCGTGGGATGATAGTGGGTCATGGTTCATGCTACACAGATTATTGTGTCCATCACATTCTACGTTGGCTGATCATCCCTACTGAGACAATTCATCCTTGAAAGTTTAGCAAATAGTTTGATAGTTGGTCAACGCTAGTAACTGGACCACTCTAAACAAAACATGGCTATTTCATTGGAATCTAACCTAAAAAAATAACCATTGAGCAGATCCCTCATGGCCCAAATGAGGTGAGTGCCATGGCTGAGCAGTGTGTGCGCACCGTCAAGCAGTTCGGAGCGTAGGACAGGGTTACCGGGTTGCCCTCCAAAAAGAGAACATGGAAGTCGGAAATGGCCAGTTTCAATATCAGGGTTCACTTCTAAGGAGTGATTTGTATTTTCTTGCTTGTTTGTTTTTGATGTTTTTGGATGCCTTTCTTTGGATGATTGTATTATAATTACAGTTGCATTGTTTCCAGGTATACTGTATTAGCTTTAAACTATCCGGCAAAGCAGAGGTGTACCCCAAAAGATGCAGTAGAACAATTACACCAATCTCTTCTTGTTGTTACTATTTAGATAATTTTTAAATATACACTATATGTATTTGACGATGGTGCCTACCTTTTTCTTTTTGGTCGCAGGCGATGTACGAAATCCTATGAGTCTAGGGCCTAAGGCCCTGAAATTCATTGCAAAGCTGGTGCTGCTCAGCCGGAAAAGTGTTCAACAAGGAGTGTGCAAACTTCGCTTGGGCTTTGGCAAACATGATGCTTGCCGGGGCCTCGTTCTGAAAGATAGCAGGGAATCCTTCGAGCCTATCACATGAAGCAGAGCTGTCGTCGTTCCTCCTGCCGTTTTCTTCTTGTCGATAAACAGATGCTATGCTGCTGCTGCTGATGATGCTGATGATGCTGATGATGATGATGATGACGACCGACGACCATGACAGTAATACTGGGATGATCCAGGTCGACATGCCTTGCCTTGCAGCCTTGGGAAACAAGTTCATGACAGGCGACAGTGGGAGGGCACCCCCATTTTTCGGCGGAAAATGGACTGATGAAATGATTAATGAAGCCAAAATATGCCAAAATATCAAATAATACAATCGACTACAAAAGGCATTGCACGTTTTTCCCGACAAAGTCGGATCGTAGCCACAGGAAGGGGGCATTATTCATCATTATTCTTCGGCTGCACTCAGCTACGCATCATTTTTCTGGGGGTGTCAGAAACCATCCCAGCCTTCCCAAATCCAGGAGGAAGCATGATCTTGCGCGAATTTTCCAAGATTTTCCAACATTTATCCGACTTATCCAACATTTGCCAGCATTTTTTCCAGATTTCAAGCCACTTGTGACTTTGGGATCTCCGGGTTCGCGGTAACACAATTGAGGCCTTCGAAGCGGCAGCACGCAGAATTTGACCAACACGGTGTGGGGGTGCCACCACCGAGTCGGTTGCTATGGTTATTTCTTAATCTTAGACCTATCATTATTGTTGTCATTATTGTTATTATTGTCATCATTGTTGTGATTGCTGTATATATATATTGTTATTATTGTTATTATTGTTATCATTGTTGTTATTATTGTTATTGTGTATATATTATATATATATAATATTAAAAGTTGCTACCCGTTCCTACTAATGACGGTAATAATGCTTGCAGTACCATTTTTGTTACGTTACTCATGTTCTTCGGGAACATCTGCTTGTTTTTTTTGGACTATGATGATTTATGATATTGTTCAATCACATTGAGGGCCTAGCCATTTTAATTTGTAACCTTGGGTTAACCTTGGACATTGGGGTGCTGGGTTCACATCCATCAATCCATCCAATGGAAATCAAAGGCCAACAATGGTCTGGAAAAATGAAACAACTGGTGTGTATAGTCATAGTCAATACGGCCATTTTGGGTACCAGTTGGAATGCCTCTGGGGCCGTGATTTTTGAAAAAGGCATCATGGCAGACCTTCTTGAGATTCCAATTGCTCTATACAGTGTACATGTCCTGTGTACTTTGAATCTTAACATCACGAAATCTACTCTGAGTTGGGAATTTGAGAGCCATCCTCGCTATCTTTTGGCTTCAGTGAAACTTCTTTTGTCTTGCCATGCCCGGTGAAGCCGGGAACATGGGGATAATTTGAGCTGCAAAACAGGGGACTTCACCAGCATCAAACAGCTGGGCTTAGCCCCTTTTCAGCCTTGCACCAGGCAAGCAGAGATCACAGGGCAATGGGTAGACAGCCAGTTACATCCACTTACTTACCACCAAAAAAACAATGGTTAAATATGGTTAGATATGGTTTAGATAGCTACCCCTACAAATCATTGGATAGATCAGGAGATACCCAACCACCTCAGCTTTTTTTTCTGTCGCGCTGCACGGGCCCATTCTTTTCCCGATTTCTGGGGCCTGCGGTGCGTCCTGCCACGGCCTACAAATGGCGTCGTCATCTTCGTCCTCGCGCAGGCTTTCAAAAGGAGCAGATCGCGGCTGGATTTCCCTGGGCATCGGGTTACAGCTTGATTTTCTGGGGTCTGAGATTAGCAATGTTAGAGAGCCCAAAGTCGTGGCATATTTTCATATATATTCTATAGATTTTTTGATTTTTTCGATGTTTCCCTCGGAGCCATGGAAGATGACTGAAGCTGGGCTCAACAGCTTGCCTCACCTTTTTCCACATTGGAACGACGCTTCCATGCGAGAACCCCAGCAACAGACGACTTGTTGCCACTGGAACCACCTCAAAGCAACCACTTCTGAGTTTGGATCCAACGGATTGCAGCCATGACCCCCCAGTGAATGTAGGGGGCACTAAGATTCCCTTCAATCAATTTCAGAGGTTGACCTCTCAGCCCGCCATGGCCACATGGATGCTACTGGAAGCACTCAAAACTTGGCGTTTCTGCGGCTGCAGCGCGTTTGGGATGAGCAGCGCCAACGTCTCACAGCACCTTTCTATGGACAGAAGGGCTTCCTTCGCTCGGAGGTGCGGAAGGGCTTGAGGGATTTGATGATTTTGGAGAGGGACATGTTCTTTCATGTTGTTTCTACAAATAAGAACCCTCGAACTTAGGGTCTTAAGATCTGAAGAAGGCATTTGGTCGTCGTTGTTGCTGGTTAACATATAGTGATGCCATGTGACATTGGCAACGCAGATCCTCTGGAAACTCAGGCGCAACAGCAGGACTTCGAGTGCTTCTTCGAGCGTTACCTCCGCTTCCTCCGCAGCCAGCCCCCGGACTACGGCCTGCCAGCAGCTTCCGCCGCCCCGCGCGCACCAACGGGCCAGGAGCTGAGGGGCGCCCAGCGGTTGGTGGCCGCACTGCCCAGGGTCTTTGATCCGTGCCTGCGGAGGAATCCTGGGTTTGTTTGAGGCGATTTTGGTTGAATTTTCCAATGAAGAATCCGCAATTTGGGGAATCTCTAGGGGATACCTTTCATTTTTTTGGAGCAGCACCAAGGAACTTGGAGGTGAAAGGAGGGGAGGTCCGAGGCATCGACCACTTGGACTCTTTGTTGTTCAGAGGGGTGCTGCAACACTATGAAGATTTCAGGCAGTAGCCTAGTGGCAGATGGTGGGGGTGGAGATTTCTGGATATTTTTTGGCGCACGTACCAGCACAAGACTGTAGAAGTGAAAGTCTATGCTTTCCGGTTCCCCAATATGGACAGCGCATAGTATTTGCAGCGGTTTGAGATTGCAGGTTGGATTATACCCCCGGATGAACCCAGATGCATAGCACAGTTTGGATCGTTTTGGGAAGCACCCCAAGAATCTTTCAACAAAAAAAAGGTTGCGAAACGATTCTCAAACCTCCATGATGCTCCATCATTAATTTACAAGTCCCAATATTTTCCTAGATGTTACGTGTTTCCATATAGTTCAACGATGAAAACACTCGTCCCTTTTTTCCGAGCTACTTTAAGCACCAGCCAGCATCCCACTGCCATGGTCTCCAGCATCGAGGAAGATGGCGCTGCAAAAGCTCCGCAAGTTGCGCGACACCATCCGCAGCCTCCCGGCCACCGCCCAGCGGGAGCAGCTGGTGGAGGCGGTGAAAGCACACCCCGTGGTGCTGGTGGCAGGTGCAGTGGGACTGGGGGGGATGGGGTTGTGGTGATTTCATGGGGATAGTGGAATGATCATGGATATAATATATATATATGTATATAATATTATATATTTTAATTGGGATAAGTCCTATGTTACTCCAACTGGTTTTGATTTGAGGTGGTTAAGGTGGTTGTAACCGGTGGTGATTGGATACTGTTAACGATGAAGCATGGGGGTTAACTTGATTTCAGCATCCTGAAATGGGGATATAGATATCGTATCAATACCTTCAATGTTAGGGACCCAAGTCATGAAATGATGCACTAAAACAGGGCGCGCACTGGGGTTCATTAGCAGCGTCCCACCATTTTCCATGGACGCTCATGAAAATCCATGAAAATGCATGAGAATGACTGGTTGACAAATGGGATTTTTCCGTAGATTTCCCGCGGGGTATGCCCCACCATTTTCCATGAGAATCCACATTTCATCCATGGAACATTGAGAGAAACCTTGGGTTTTCATGGATTTCCAGTGGGGTTTTCCTCCAAAAAAACAGGGTGGATTTTCTGTTGGAAGTTTGGACCAGGCGACACTGGCTGCGGCAAGTCCACCCAGGTGCCCCAGTTTCTGATGGAGGCCTGGCATGATGCGGTAAACCCCATGCCATAAACTTTCATAAACCATCCCTAACGGAGGTTGTTTATTGTTGGGGTACTGTATACCTTGTAAACGGTTGATGGTTTATTGTTGGGTTTAGCACAATGTTTATGGTTGAACAAGGGGTATGATATGTAAGTTTATACAAGGGTGATATAAGGTGGCGAAGCTAACGAAAAACCAAAGCCAACGACAAGGCCTTTTCACCGAATTAGATATACCACATTAGAGCCCTATGGCTACGCTGTAAAACACGCTGGTAGGCCCAAATATTGTTTCAAGGTTGATGAAGACCCCCCCAGTGGCACAATTAGAGATGGTGGTATAAACCACCCATTCCCTTGTTTATGGGTTGTTTCTGGCATTGTTTTAGCCATAATGATGTTAAGAATAGTGAAAGTAATGACCATGATAATGTTAATCAACTATTTCTATGGGCCATTTTCAATAGCAAACTGTAGCAAACTGTAGCAAACTGTAGCAAACTGTAGCAAACTGTTCAATTACCAGAGGGTATATCCATCAATATCCCGGTATTATCCCATCATTATCCCATTATCATCCCTATAAACCATATTAAACCATATTAAACCGTAGGGTATCATTAAATCCCATTAAGATCCCATTAAAGTCCATTAAATCCCATCAAAAATCATGCCGCTGCGAGGCCGGCTTCCACCAGATCCTGGTGACGCAGCCGCGGCGCATCGCCGCCATCTCGCTGGCGCGGCGCGTGGGCGCGGAGCAGATGGACGTGGCGCAGAGGAAGGTGGTGGGGCAACGTGGCGGCGTGGGGCCATGGATGGCCTTGGTTGGAGGGGGGGTTTTATGATGTTTATATATATATATATATGTGATTATATGTGTGTGTGTATATATGTATCTGTATGTGTGTATATATGTATATATGTGTGTATATATATATACCGTTTTAAGGGGTGGAAAAGGTAGCTGAAGATGTCCATGCTAATGATTTCGCGCCGAAAAGACAACAGAGAGAGAGAGAGAGAGACCAGTCACAGAAAATCCGGCCGAAAGGTAGTCCGACTCACCTTTTCAGGAATTATATGCTTTTGCATCACCTGGTGTTGGAGTTTCTTTGGAAGCCTAAGCTTAGCTTGGTCAAAGGAGCCTAGGGTCCATGAAGTTTGCCCACTTTCCCACTGGCTGCCGCAGTGAGGCATCAGATTCGTTTCGACTCCAGCCTTACAGAGCAGCTTGTCTTGAAGTCTTGGTGAGGTGTCATAACCAGAACCAGACATCAACTGGGTGGTAACGAGTAGAGCGGGATGATATTTTTTTTTGGGCCTTCTATTCATACCATTTGTTTTGTTCGTAGCTTAGCTGTTCAATGTGACAAAATGCTTGATGATTCGCCTTAGACACGGTGAACCACCAGGGATTAGATTATGATTCATGATCATTAACCAACATTACCAACCATCCTTAACCATCACTACGGGGGCCGTGTCCATTGGCCATCGCGGATTAGGAAGACCCGGATCCTCTTCGTGACCGAAGGGATTCTGCTCCGGCGCTTGGAAAGTGATCCAGAGGTGTGCCGATTGGCATTGGCCAAGTGCTGGGGATGTAGATGGGTTGTTCACCAGACACATGTTGACCATTATAAAAAATATGTATATATATATAATATACTATATAATAGTGGTAAACGGAACAAATATGGTTTCTAACTGTGTTTTGGTTAGTAATAGAAACCCAAGAACAAACCACAATAATCCATAATAATGTGTAAGAATGACTGCAAATAATCGAATGTATATATCCAGAATCGACACAACCCATTTACTAAGGTGATAAACTTAAGAATAAACCACCCCCCAATTCTGCCAGAAATGGGTGGATATTTTAACGATAGAAACTGGAACTTTATTAATTATTGGGTTAACCACATTCGAATTTGGCTATATTTCGGCTGATGATGGTTGGTTAATGGTGAATCAATGAGTTGATTTTGAACCAATGGATGGAGAGGATGGCCGGGTGGCCAGTGCAGCAATTTTCCTGCTGGAGATGGCGTCGGGAAGCACTTCCATGTTGTTGATACGTCTTGAAGTGTTTTCTTACCTGGTTTTTGCCATCCATCATTAGTTCTGTGCAGTGCCTCTAGCTCCAAATGCATTGCACATATTCCATGATGATGGGCATTCATCAGATTATATAGTTATATAACCATACCTTGATATCTCAAGCATCCCCAAGGGTTTCAAGCCACCAGACTGGTCAGACTGGCGCAACGGAGGTGAACGACTTTGATGTGGTCATCGTGGACGAGGTGCACGAACGACACCTGGTGGTGGACTTTGTGCTCGGAATCCTGCGAGAGGTATGGTTGGGACCCGGAATGGATCAGACTCGCCAATGGTTTGGTTGAAACAAGCTGAAACACTACCCCGATGGAGATTTACTTGGCCTATAGATGTCTATAGTATCGTCATTTTATGTGATGTTCGACATCTTCAGCAGTGACCCATCATTTTTGGCACATTTTACCCAGCCAGGTGGTGACCAACCGACGTCCTGGGCTCAAGTTGGTGCTCATGTCTGCCACCTTACAGAAGGACCGGTGCTGGGAAATCCCCAAGGTCAATGGAGGTTATGATGGGGAGATCAATGAAATTCAGAACACATGGAAGTTGCCATTGCCATGCTTTGGTCACTGGAGGGTTATATAATTCATGAATATTTTTCATTAATTCTCATGATCTTCAAAATCTTCATGGTTTTTCCAGATATCTTCATCGTTTTTTACACCATCCCCAGAGATTTGGCGAAGGACCTCTTCACAAAGTTCTTCGACCTCCCGGAGACTGCGGTGATCCAAATCCCCGGGCGCATGTTTCCCGTGGAGATCGAACACATCGCGCTGAAGGTGACCGCTACTTGGAGATTCTGGGATTCTGTGGGAGTCTGATACTTCTCTTCAGTTCTCTAAAAGTTTCTGATGGGAAATATAGATGGCAGTAGAGTTTTAGAAGATTCATGAAGATTCTGAGAAGGTTCTGGGTGGTTGTTGGTGAGGAAATTCTTCAGGGATGTTGATACCAATCATCATTGGCCAGGATTACGTCTCTGCCTACCTGTGGCCTGTGGGGGTTGCATGGCACGCCTCGGTTTGGCCGAACCAGCAATACCAGGACGAGCCGTTGACCATTCGGACCGATGTTGTGAAGCGTGGCTCGCAACGGAAGCAGTTCGATTGCGAGCCATTTCTGGAGGCGGGAGCATTCTGCGAGAGCCAGGGTCAGGGGCGTTTTGACGTAAATCGCTCCACAAACCATCCGTTTCTGCAGGTGTTGCGTCGCATTGAAAGTTCTCTCAGGGAAGACGAGTCCGGGAGACCCAGGGACCCAGGGCAGGGTGGCAGTGGAGAGGAAAGTGGATATGGGCGGCGACCCTGGCCGGAGAAGTGAGATCGACATGAGACATGACCAAAATCCGGAGACCAAAGGGTCGATTTTTTTATATTTTTTTCCTATCCATATTTTTCACCCCCGGGGTCGAGTAGAGGAAACACGTCAGAATCCCAGAAATCAACCAATTTGCAGACTGTCAGTTAGTCTTAATGGTCTTAAAATGGACCATTGATGATCATCTCACTTTGGGCAATCTAAAAAGCATTGCATTTTGCATCCTTAGGCGTGGAGATGTGCTGATCTTTGTGCCTGGTGCTTATGAGAGCCATGGCCTGTGATGGTTGGATGATGTTGGCACTAAGTTGTGCTCGTAGACTCACAGATTTTGAGACTTGACATCACTAAGTTGCAAGTCTTTGCGCGGTCTCGGCCTGTGTAGATCTTTTCGATTATCTTGATTGAGATCTTTGATGCTGAGGCCATCCAATTTGGACTATTATATAAGATGCTAGGCAATTACATGTAATGATTGATTTTCCCATTATATCCAAAATAGATCCCTATTTTAGACGGTTATATGCCAATTTTGGATGGTTAAATCATGTTAAATCCCAACTGTGTGGTTAGATATCTGCTCGCCTTCAGATGCTGAAGCTCCAGGATGGCGATGCAAAGAGGGAGAGAGAGATGGTTAGATAATGTTACCCTCTGGTAGACTAACATAACCATTGAAAATAACAATTTTTAATGGGTAAATCCATTAATTCTATGGCCATTTTCAATAGCTATTTTGACATAACCAGAGGGTAGATATTCATAAACCCATCGGCCATATGGATGGTGCCCCTGATTTGTGCAGATTTCAAGGATTGAGGCCCTGGTGGGTGCCATCAGCGAGCTGGCGCAGCGCTCGCGCTTCTGGCTGCCGCTGCCCTTGCATTCGCAGATGCCGGTGGAGCAACAGGACGGCACCATGGGAAGCCAGGTGGTGCCCCAGATCCCCCCAGTGATGTTTGTTGGGGCACCACCATTGCAAATTCACAAGACCTTGTCAGCAGTTGAGGCTTGGGAGACGGTTTTTTACCTCTAAACATGGGCCATTTTTGGGGTCTATGGAGATTTGGGGGGGTATAGCAATCTGAAAATAGAAATATTTTTTCTGGAACCACAGAAGACATCTGAAAATAGATGCTGCAAAAGCAATTGGAACCTCGGAGGTATTTCCAACATTTTCACATGTCTGGAAAAGTGTGCAAACCTCTGGTTGGGCTTGAACATGTTCAATCTGTTTTGTCTTAATTAAGGGGCTCCGCCCCCTGCCGCCGACCCCTGGGCTGAGCCTGCGATCAGCTTCTCCATGGCCCTGAAGCACACACACACACGCATATATAAAGATATATATATATATATGTATGGTTATACACTGCAAAGTTAGGTGTGCGTTGATTATGTATACATGGGTGCAATTCTGCTAAGGGGCTGACATGACAAAGCCAGAGTAGAAACATAATTATATCAGTGGTTCAATCTTGCTTGGTTGCCGAATCAAGGCTGTCTGGTGCCATGCTTTTGCAGCTTTTGGATCGATAGTGTGAGAAGTAGCAGCACAGGCACACTGGGACAAATTTCACCCGCAATAGCGAGGGTTGTTTGCGCTTTTTGTCCGGCCATGGATCACATTGAATTCAAAGTCCCTGCTGGGTGCTACACAGAAGCTTCTGTGAAGGACGCAGCCAGCATTTGTTCCACCAGCTGTTGCGAGCAGAAGTCTAGGCAACCAACTACTTGTAGCTGCAACTAGCTGATTGGTTCTGTTGCGGTGCCGAGAGTTGTGACATTGCAGGAACTGAGAGCCTTCCTCAGCTGCACGCATCGGAAGATCGGCGAAGGATCTCTTCTGTGGCGCGTGAGGCTCAGAACTTGACATTTTGGACCACTTTTGCGAGGTTTGGTAGATTTCGCCTGTTGGTCCTGGAAATGGTAAAGTCACAGATGATCACAGATGATTTCGCCGTTTCGCGACGATTTACGTCTTTGTCTGTAAGACATTTTAAGAAGCCTTTGTGGTGGGAGGCTTCAGTTGGCCGACATGAAAGAGGCGCCATGGGGAATATCTTGATTTTCATTATCTGAGCACATGAGTTGTTTTTTTTTGCGGAAAACCGTTGATTAATATAACTATATCATAAAATATCATATATACATACATATTTATATATATATACATGTATAGATATATATATATATATACATATACATATATGTAGCTAAGGCTGGCCATGATACTGGGATTGAACTGGTAATCGAAAAACGCCCTGAAGTTGACACAACAGTGGCCATTTTAGAAAAATGGCTAGTTTTGCAAAAAAATACTTTGCGTTGCCAACATATTAGTTCCACCAATCTTGCAGCAGTTCTGCTCACATTGCAGGAATTTCAACGAAAGATGAGCGACTTTGACCGAAAGAAAGCCATGGATATGCGAACGCTCAGCAAGGTCTGGCTGATTTCACAAGTGGTTTGGGGATTTCTCAAGTACGATTTCACCTCGTGGATTCCCATTGTTGTAGGAATGTCGGTGTAGGAATTGAAGGGAAACCTTCAAAAAAATACACCCCTTTATCTTGGAAAACACATAATACTGCTAAACAAATCATGTTCATAAACACGATTATATAAATGCATGTTTCAACCAATTCAATCCAATTCATACATTAATGTGAAAGTTGGCATGTTCAGAAATGCAATCTAATACGAATTAATCTAATGTGGGTAAAAGAATCATAAACCATCTCCCAAATCACCATATTTATAGGTGGTATGTTTACCATTCCCAGGCATGGATGGTTTATGGCATTGCTTTCATTGTTTTACCATGTTTTACCCTTTGGTTATTTAACATGCCATGGAAAATCACAATTTTTAATAGGTAAACCATCTATAAATGGGCCATTTTCCATGGCTATGGTAAATAACCAGAGGGTACCATGTTTTACCCCACATTATCGGTGTTGATTTTCGCAGAACGTCAGGACTTTGAGAAGAAGGTGGAGATTGAGGCAGCGAAGCTTCGAGCGAGAACCAAGGAGCTTCGATAGTCGCCGTGTCGCACCATAAAGTTGGGCCGGAAAAAACAAGCGCAAAAAATGAACTGTTGGACCCAAATCAGAATAGATCTTATATATATATATATATATATACATATATATATATAACACATTTTGGACCCAACATGAATAGATCTAATCTATATATATATACACACATATTGCACTATGATCACCAGCTGCCATGAGGACCAGTTGGATTCCACGACCAAGCGGACCATCATGGAAAATGAACAAATGGCTTGGGGCTTGGCACTGGGGAAACCTGCGGACTGACAGGGGCTATGAACGAGTTTCTAGAACTTGGAAATTGATCTCTTGAAAGGATTGAACGTAGCTTTGTTGACCATAGTCAAGAGAGATAATCAAGCACAAACCCAAACACAGCAGAAAAATACTGTGCTCAGCGGAGGACTATTCTTACTTAAGCTGGTCAAGGGCATTACTCAACGTCTGCCAAGCTTTTATGACCACCATGACGACTAATATTTCAGAAATGTAATATATACAGATTAAATGATATATAATACAATATATATATATATACACATACTATCTATGATAGATGTGGTAATCCCAATGCTAGCACCCCCTTTATATAACAATAAGAAATCATGATGACCTGCATATATATATACACATATATATATGTGCTAATATATGTATGGTTTCTAAATATAAACCACCAGATAAGAACATGATCCCCATTATCATCCCCATTATATGATACTCCCATTTTAATGACTATGTATTTATCAGACAGTCATATATACTCATTATTGTTTTACTATGTATAATTCCATTATCCCATGATATATAGAGACTATACACCAGAAAATAAACATGTGTTTAATGTTATATCGTGGCACTATCCCAGAGGCCGAGTATCATATTATCGGTGGTATATAATCCCATGATTCCATCATTACTATTATCACGATGGTTCGCCAGGTACTACCACCATCATCATCGTGCTTATAGTTTATGACGATCGGTTAGGGGATATCAACCATGATACTAAAAGATACCGTCTAGGGAAATGCTTCGCGATCGAAGATTTTACGAAATGAGCGCAGAAAATGAAGGCTGTCGAGGGCGCGAATAAGCAGCCTTATTCGCACCCTTTGCGTTCACACAGGGTAGAACCTTTAATGCTGAGCTGTCAGTGTTTATTTCATGGGGTGTGAAGGTTTAAGATCTATCAATGTCAGAAGGTTCCCAGTTCTGCAAAATGGCGTGCTCCATGATAACTTTGTAACAAATTTCCAGAAAGTAGACGAATATGTTTCATTCCCAGTACATCTCCATGTTTCGTTATAGCTGTACCTCAATCCCTATGAATTTCCATGAGCACTCACCATGTTTACCCATGCCATGTTTACACGATATCTTATATATACCTTTGATACACTCTATCCCATTATATACTATTTATTATAAACTATATACCATATACCAACCATATATTTACTATCCCATTACCCTATTATCGTTGATATCCCATTGCTATACCATTGCGACAATGTTGTAATAATGGTATAAAAATGGGATTTTACTGGTGGTATTAGCAATTTACTCCCATCATCATGATTATGGTTGACGATCATCGGTTTGGTGATATCAACTATGATAATTCTCATGGTTTTCCCCTGGTTTTCCCATGGTTTCGCATGGGTTTCCTATGGTTTTCCTACGACGGAGGTAAATGCACCACTCACTCTCGTTTTCTTTATATCTCTTTCTCTCTCTCTCTTTCTCTTGCTTTCTCTCTCTCTTTCTCTCTTTCTCTCTCACTCTCTCTCTCTCTCTGTCTGTTTAGCGCCGTTGCGCAGGTGGGCCGACAGCTGGAGGTTGTGGCAGCAGGGGCATCTCAGCATTGCCGGGAGCGTTGGATTGCTGGAAGTTTTCATCGGCTGGGTTGGGAGCCCTGGGGGTGCTTACATCGTTGGTAGAAAGGGTCACCCCCGGGGTAACAAAAAAAAAATATATTATAGGTATTGGTTAATAATGGTTACACCATACCCATGTGGAAAAAAAAACCACCAAGGTGCTTGAGAAGTTTGGGGCTTATGGCATTCGGCTGGTGAAGAAATACACCAGGACAGCTGCAGAAGTGGGGGTGGCGTTGTTAAAAAAACTTTATATACGGGGGACCATCATGCTTAAGAATCCTACCAACTGATTGGATTATATAATTTCCATCCATGGATCAATCATCAGTATCCCGAGTAAAAGACATGAAGATAGCATTTTTGGAGCCCTTTTTCTATTCAGTATTACTTATTATATTCAGATGATACACCCATCCTAAGTATATGTTTTTTTAATTCATATAATGTGATATAATATGAATAATTATTTTTTTTGGCTTTGATTGATATGATAACAAGTTTATTCGTTTGGTTGACTGGTTTCAGTTTCGAGATTCCGAGCTGGCAGGTGTTGGTGCACTGCACCCGGGCCGCTCCTGCAGTGTGGCCGTGGTGGCGGCATTTCTGATGCAAAAGGAGAAGATCTCCCTGGGAAAGGCGAAATCGCTGGGTTTCGGAGCTGATTTCATGGGATTGTACCAGGAATCATGGGATTTAACCGTTTAACCAGAAAATAACATGGATTTTATATGATTTTAACATATTTGACCAGTAAACAACTTGGATTCCTGGGTAAACTGACAGGTGAATGGCAGGTGTGCTGGAACTGGAAGAATTCATGAAAATCAACTGTTGGCGGGAATCTGCATTTGACACTCTTGAAAGAAAAACGACGATTAGCCGAGCCCACCATCAGTCTTCTGAGGCCCTTCTGTCCATCAAGGTGACTTGACTGGCATCTCAAGGCCGTCCTTGGTTCTAGTTGGCCGGTTGGCCACAAAAACAACCATGTATTTCATCATAAATCATATATTTTACCATATTCATATACTTATACCATTTTGATACACCATATAGCATATATGGTATCATATAGCCAATTTCTTATGTAG